TATAGATATGATATGGCATGTGTTGAAAATTTTCTTTTGTAAAAATCTCGTTCCATTTCAAGAACTTGTTGTGCATAAATACCTTTGGCAAGTTTACATCTTTCATGAAAAGTTAAAAATTGACAACCATGTCTTCATGTCAATCTTTTAAGTTTATGCAGACGCTTTTTTGAGCATTTAAATGTAAGCGTTTATGGGATACCTTAGATTCCTTCTATAAACAAGTCAACCAGAAAAATATTTATGAAAATGAAAACTCTGTCTGCCTGGAATTTTCATTTCTGATTTGAAAGATGGATTTATTTGGCAAGTGAATGTCATATTTGCCTTGATTTTTATCGGCCATTATGTCCGGAAAATACATTTTTGATTGGCCTTTATGTCATAAGTAACAAATTGAGTTCGGCCATTTGTAATTTTTTTGCAAATTGCCGATGGCCGACGCCAATCTGAATCACTGATTTCTTTATTTTACTTTTCAAACAATTTATCAGTGTTTTTCACTGACATTTGACTCTAAAGACTTAAAACAAAGAATCAAAATTTGTAATTTATGACACAATTTACCATCTGCTTAAAAATATATAAACTGTTAGACCTTGGTGATTATTACATGTAGATTTTAATGTTGGAAAATACCATTAAATCATGCGGCTCTTAAAATTATCACTGAAAATCGCATTTTTGGAAAAAAAGATATGTAATAGTAACTTTATAAGAATATATATATCATTATTTCCACTTTCAGTTAATGTAGTAGTAATATCACCCTGTGTGTCCAAATAATGTGAAAAGTCCAGTTTGTAGATCTACTTGAGTAACAATTATATTGATATTTCTAAAACATGCCAAAATGTGAAGGACAGAAAAGTATTTATTGAAGCACATATTTGAGTCTTATAAGCTTACCTGAGCATGCTCAGGTTGAGCTTTAAGTAGAGCTGTCATTGATTCAGTGCAAAGCATATCACTGATATATTGACATTGGGTGACAAATATCAAGGATACACCAATTTATTGATAATAACCTATAATTACTTGTCTGTTATTCCGTTTCATACCTGTTGAAATGATTTTAGTTAAATAAAAATATGTTCTCTTCAGTGTTATGTTTATAAAAGCCCATTGCATGATATTTTTCAAGACCATATTTTTTTGTCCTCATTGCTGTGAAATATTTCCACTATATAACAACAGCATAATGTTAGACATAGATAACTGCTTCTGTATATGTTTTGGGTGAATTGTCATAATTTCTAGATATTTAATTAATTAGTTAAAATTATTGATTATTTTTACATGTGTATAGATTATTTTTCAACAGGAAAATATCAACCATACATCAATATTGTCATTATCAATGACTGCTCTAGCTTTTAGGATTAATGAATGTCCGTCATCTGTCCACATTTAGTTCCTCAACACTCTAGCAGTCAGATTCATTCCTCTATCATCATGAAACTAAAATTTTGTCAGAAAGTCAGTGCAAAACTTTTCCATGGTAACATAACAAATTTATTAATCCTGATGTAACATTGTAACTGACAGTTCAAATGCCACTTATGTTGAAGGTGTGTGCACATTCCAAAAGCAGTGTTTATAGTAACCTATATTTAAGGAAGAAAATGCCTATCCGACAGCTATGTTGTAGACATCGCTACCCATCCGGCTTGCAGAGTTTCAGTTGTGTAAAAATTGGGTATATACTGGAATTTTATTTGATTATTATCGCAAAGAAGACTCACAGCAAATTGTTCTGAAAGTTTGCCACAATCATTCACAGCAATATTTTACTTCACGGCAAACAACATGCTCCAGCATACCTCAAACTTTGCTGGTTTCTCCTGGCCAGTATTGTACATTGAAAATTAATAAATGGAAAGTCATACCAAATTATCTGCTGATAATAATTTAGTTATCTAATAATGTAAAATTAATGTCATAATTATGTAATTTCATATTTGCACTTCTGGTAATTTTGTTGCAGACACATTCATGTAATAGTCTACTTACATGTATAATTATGTGTTAGGGTATTGATAAACTGTATCTATTTTGTGCTTTATAAATAATAACAGTTTGTTATCACATAAACCATGGTGCAGGAGTGTACATAAAAACAACATTACACTTCAGTCTTGTGCAACAAAACAAATATGGCGTTAAAGTGCACTGGTGTTGATGCAACAAAGAAAGATAGCTGTACGTGTTTTAGATATGTGATGGATGGATTATTATACCCCTGAAACAAATGGACAAGCACAATGAGAGGAAGTGCAGCACACAAAAACCATAACTCTATCTAAAGGAATTACAGAGTTATTGCCCTTTGTTACTTTTCCTTGTCCAGAGTATAACTTGTAAAGTACCAGTTGGATTTCAAAACAATTTCATGCAATGGTCAAGCACAATGAGTGGAAGTGCAGTGCACAAGAACCATAACTCTATCTAAAGGAATTACAGAGTTATTGCCCTTTGTTACTTTTCCTTGTCCAGACTATAACTTGTAAAGTACTGGCTGGATTTCAAAACAATTCCATACAATGGTCAAGCACAATAAGAGGAAGTGCGGTGCACAAGAAACATAACTCTATCTAAAGGAATTGCAGAGTTATTGCCCTTTGTTACTTTTTCTTGTTAGAGTTAGGAGTGAGATATTACACTGAAATTTAGTATAAAGCAAGAGTTTATCTGAAGATCTTGTTGTAGTCCAACTTAATATATAGCAAGCTTATATGAATACCCAGCTTAGGATTGGGTTTGCAAGGTCACTGTTACTAAAAACAGAAAAAATAGGTTTCAGGTCAAGGACACTGTTACTAAAACTAGTTGGTTTTTTTTCGTTAGGAAAGAGATATTACAATCAAATTTAATGTAAAGCAAGCTTATATGAAAACCCTGTTTGGGATTGCAATTTATGGGAATAATTCTTTGTACATAGAATGGAGTTGAAAGTTTATAAATTATAAGTCAAGTTCAAATTTTTCTTCAGACAACTTTTTTTCTAAAGTCGAGGTTGTTGGTGGGGGTTTACCGGTAATCACCTTTAGTGATAGCTCTAGTTATATTTGTGTGGATTCTGAACTTATTGAGCTCATTAAATAAAATAATATTGTGCTCAACAGAGGCTTACATAATATGGTTTTATTCGAATGTCAGACATAATCCCCTTCGGACAAAATCCCCTTCATATACCCGGACAAAATCCCCTTCATGGGTGGACATAATCCCCTTCATGTTTTTGCAAGGCTGGACAAAATCCCCTTCACTAACCGGACAAAATCCCCTTGTTTCATAGGTTTCTAATGTGTTATTATGCTCCATAAAAATTGATGAATAATGTATTATTATACTCCCTAAAAATTGATGAATAATGAACTTTTGTTTTTTTTATTTATAATTATGTATCAAGTTAACCTTTATTTAGTTAAAAAGTTTTCATTAAAGTTATGGTAAATTATCAACTGCATAACACATATTTGATTAGTATGAAAAACATTTTTTTAATTTTAACAGTTTTCATTATAATTGTGGTAAATTATCAACTGCATAACAAATATATTTGATAAGGCATTTTCTTTAATTGTTTTAAATTGATTATTGTGAGAAACATTTTTATTAGTTTAACAGTTTTCATTATAATGTGCTCTATCATACTGATCTGTATTCATTTGCTTATGTTATAATTGCTTAAGCCATAATTGCTTTGAAAAATAAATGTAAATATTAAATTGAAATATTTTCTGCTTATTTATACATTAAGATATTTACCACATAGCATAATGCAGTATGTCGCTCTCATACCCACTTTATAAACCGAAAATTCATCCGAGGGGGATTTTGTCCTAGGTAGCAATTTTATGAAGGGGATTGTGTCCACTTCCAAATTTCACACATGAAGGGGATTATGTCCACCCATGGAGGGGATCATGTCCAGATATACAAAAATACATGAAGGGGATTTTGTCCGAAGGGGATTATGTCCGTACACCGTTTTATTCAGCTTGTTTGGTAGGTTTTGTATTTGATCTACACTCATTATAATATCCTCAGAATATATAAAATGTATGAAACAACGCATTGTTATTTATGGATATTGGTGTGTATTTTGGGTCAGAGGTCTATATTACAGTGTAACTTCCGAATTCCGGAACTTCTAAAATCCGGAAACTTGAAATCCGAACATTTTTCAGGGTCCCAAAATTTCTCCTGTTTTCTATGTAATTAATACCTCTGAATTACGCATCTCTTAAAATCTGAATTCCGAACGATTTTTTAGTTAAATTTGGGTTTTTTCCATTCAAATTTACTTCCAAAATCCGGAAATTGAAACAGGTTGTAAAGGAAAATTATACTTATGTTTGTAAAACAAGATGTTATTATCTTCCAATTAGCAGTAACCATATATCTTGACACCTATTAGAATCACAACCTGTCAAGCATGTCAAAAACTGGATTAAAGTGTGATAATTAAGTACAATATGAAGAAAATAAAACTATTACAGGTAAATAGCAGGTACATCATGAAATAAACTAAAGGATAAATTGTGATAATTAATTAACATTATGCTTTCATATCAACATATTCAGTTATATGTGATAATGAAATTGAAAACAGTTATAAACTTTTTTAAAAGTCCTATAATTCTGCTGTTTTATGAATTTAATCAGCTTCATATATTTTTCACCATGTCTTACTTTAATGTTTAATGTTTCTACTTGTTCAGAAAAGTCTGAACTTCTGAATTCCGGAAACTTCCAAATTCCGAACTTTTTGGCTAGTCCCACAGGTGTTCGGTTTTCAGAAGTTACACTGTACTTGAAATAAACTTTTCAATTCAAATTAAAGCAGATCTGATAAATTGCTTGTATATAATCTTAAGAAGAGTCTCCATCTATTTAAATGGCTAATCAATATTTAAAAAGTTTAATTTATACATATTTCTCTTCTGAGCAAACACTATTGAAACATTTTAATTTCCCAATATTTATTTTACTAGAAAGAAAAATCTTCGAAGGAATCTTTTGAAGAGTATTTGGTTCAGAGAAAAGATCCTCCGGGCTTTGAGGTTCGACAAATAAACAAACACATAGGTAAAACTTTTTCCATACAGCTAAGAAAGTTCAGATATTGAAATTTTGTTGATGCAAAATTATAGAGGTATTTCATAAATACTATATGTCCAATATTGAATACGAATACATTATTTGTTTTTTTCATAAGTAAATCATGTTTAACAGGAGAAAACATATGGATTATACATTTTAAAAGTCATATTTCTTTGATAATTCAGGCAAAGGAGTGTTTTCACTTACAAAAATAAGAGCTGGATCCTTTCTGTTTGAATATGGAGGAGAATTGATAACAGATAGGGAAGGATTGAGACGTGAGAAACTTTATCCTCTAAGTCTTGGGTCCTTTCTTTTCTTTTTTAACTTTGGCAAGAAGAAACTGTGGTAAGTATCATCACACTTGCAAATAACAAATTTTCTTATCTTGTGTATTTTTATGCCCCCCGAAAGGCAAGATATTAAAATCACACTGTCTGTTGGCCTGTCTGTGCGTCCCCACTTCATTTGTGTCCAGACTGTAACTTTGTCATTTATGGAGGGATTTTGAAATAACTTGGCACAAATGTCTACCACATGAATATGATCTGTCATATTCAAGAACCACGTCCCTACATCATAGGTCAAGATCACACTAACATTTTAAAATTTCATATTATCATAATAAGAGTTAATAAGTACACAACACTCCTGTCCGGACTGTTACTTTTGTCATGAATTGAGAAATTTTGAAAAAAACATGGCAGATATGTCTGCCACATGAAGACAATATGTCGGATCCAAGAACCAAGTTCCTTACCTCAAAGGTTAAGGTCACACTAACATTTTGAAGTTTCACATTATCATAAATTTTTAGAGTTAATAGGGACGTTTAACATCCTACTTGAAAAGAGGGATTTTAATGAAACTTCATCCACTATGAGAAGCTGTGTCGCACGCATAAAAATAGGCCTGTATTGGTCAACAGTCAAGGTAACACTTAGATGTCATTGAAAAACACTTGTCCAGAGCAAAACTTCTACATGCATAAAGGGAGTTCAATATAACTAAATGGCACAAATTTTTACTATTGTGAGGCAGTGTCAAGTGCAAAATTTAGGTCACTGAGGTCAAGGTCACACATAGCGGTCAAATTTCAGTTAAAAATTTGGAAATGTGTATAGGGACCATTTAGTAATCATTTATTGAGACAAGGTAACATAAATGGTCACTATCATGACTGTCTGTGAAACTTATAATTTAGGTAAATATTTGCAAGGTCAAGGTCACTAAAGATAATGAAATATCCAGATTTTGTCAGGGGCATATCTCATACACACTTGGCGAGATTTTAATGAAACTTTATAGAAATGTTCACCACTGTTTGAAGCTGAGTGGGGGGCATGAACCAGGTCTGTTGGTCAAAAGTCAAGGTTATACTTAGAGATAATTAAAAAATAAATGCCTGTCAGAAGCAGGACTTCTACATGTATAAAGGATTTCAATTTAACTTGGTACAAATGTTCACCATTATGAGGTAGAGTGTTACTGCAAAATTTAGGTCCCTCTGCTAGATCAAGGTCCCACATTATAGATAAAAATTCAAATAAAAATATTAAGATGTGTATAGGGACCATTATTCATCATTTATTGAGGAATTGTAGCACACATGGTCATAATCATCACTACAGGAATGGCACATGAAATTTAGGTCAATATCTGTAAGGTCAAAGTCACTAAAGATGATGAATTATCCAGATTTCATCTGGAGCATATCTCCTACAGGCATAGAATTTTTTTTATAATGAATTGATTGCTCCATGCACGATTGATGTCAGAGGTCAAGGTCACTCTCAGCTAATTAGCAATTAATAAAGCCCACATCTCCGTTAAAAGCTTTTATAATGGGCGTATTTTGCGACAATGTTATCCTTGTTTGTTTCTTAAAGTTATATTATGCTTATTTGATATTTGAAAAAAGTGATAATTCCTAGACAGTGTCTTTGTAAAATAAATATTTATACACTGTAGGTAAAAACATTATGAATACAAAGCATCGTTAAAAACATTGGCAGTTTTTATAAGAAATGACTAATTTTATTTGTCCTGTAATATTGAATTCAGCTTTCAATACATATTTTGTTTGTCTTTTTATACAAGTTAGACATATTTTAGTATGAATTTCATGGATTTTAATAAATTTCTGTGACAAAAGTATTTTACTCAAAATATATTGTGATGCAATACATATTTTACCTCCCAATACATTGATATGGCTGAAAATTATTGCAATACACAAATAGTTTCTCCCATGAAAATAACTATAGAAGGCAGAAAAAATAATTTGGATGGAAATATTGTGACAAGTAATCTATTTTCTTATTGTTGTCATCTCATTTCACATTTATGTTAGACAGAAACATGCCATGTCTGTGGTAATTTGAATGAATTATTTTACTCATTGCCTTTAAATCTTGAAACCCATTTGACAAAAATTTTTTGATTCATTAAAATGATTTTTAAAATAAATCTTAAATGTATAAGAATGGAAATTAAATTGAAACAATTAGAAATTGAGATTATAACAATATGCAACTGTGATATTTGTGACATACTTACACATATGTTTCCACTTAGATCATTTTCTCGAACAAAAATGGTAAGTACATTGCAAATTCTTTTACGTCCCAGACCAAATTTTAAATAATTGAAGAGTTCACTGACCCTTTATTGTACTTGTTATAATTTTATAGGAGTTTTGAAATAAATGGGGTGACAGTTAACAAGTTTTTATATAAATACATAATGATTTCATGTCTGAAAGCATTATGGTACATAATACATCACCACTTGGATATCGGGTCAATATTCATTCACTTTAGCAATATATATCATGGACTCCATGGATAAGAAAACAATATTGTGATGCATATCTTGACAGAAAAAAAATGATGATACACAGCCCTACTGATCACACTCATTAGGTAGATGACAGCTTTTGTTTTTTGGTGCTTATGCATGAAGGTCTATGCATGGGCCATGATTGTGAAAACCATTTCCACTAAATTAAGTATATAACTAACATTCTGTATACAGACTTATTCTGAAACTTGGCAAATGTTGGTTTTTCCCTGCTTAACCTGAGGTTCAAGTAAACTTTTATGGTAAAAACTTTTAATCTAGTAAGCTGATACACTGCAATTCCAAGAGCTTTTATATATAGCATGTAGCATTGCCTAAAGTTGTCTTCTACAAAAGTTTTATGAATTAAGCACCTAGATTTGAAGATGTCTCATTCATAAGTAAAATACATGAATGGGTCTGTACTCTTTTTGATTGCTCAAAGAAATTACATTCTGGTGTATATTGCCCCACCTTTGCATTTAGCCTTTTCAATCTAAAGATTTGTTTGGTTAATGTTCTTATTGTTAAATGCATGAAACACATGTCATTAAATGACATTACTAATAAATAAATTCAGTATTTTGATGAATATGCAATTATACTTTAGCTCATATTTTTGTAGTATCGATGGAACATTTTCGGAACAGATTGGAAGATTTGCAAATGATGGCATATGTGAAGAAAAAAATGCAATGGCTAAAACTGTGCTTTTGTCAAACGAGCCAAGACTTGCATTATTTGCAACCAGAAATATTTTTCCTGGTGAGGAGATACGATTTGATTATGGAATAAATGACCTTCCCTGGAGAAAAAAAAGCCAGCAGGTAATACTGCATTAAATATAGTAAAACAAAATTTATCAGTTTGAAGACTAAGCCTATTAATTTGATAAATAAAAGTGAAACATGCATATCCAACATGAGTCTTTCCACCTAAATTGTGAATGGGTCTAGTACCATGTAAATTGTGAAAAAAAAATCTGTATTTAATTAACATTGTTTAAATCATAGCTGAGTAAAAATTAGACCCTTACTGGGGCTCATGTTTATTTATTAATGAATAAAAGCTAATATAGAATTTCTTGAAGGTCCTAAATGACTAGAGCTTTCACATTTAGTTTGACTTTTTTGTAGAAAGTATAATGTTACAGTCATGTTGCTATTGTTATTGCTGTCTGCAAACATTAACGTAGATCATAACTTTTTATAGTGTAATACACACAGAATGTTTTCGAGTGAATTATGTTATGCAACTGACAGTCTGCCTGTCAGTCCATCCCTCTGTCTGTTAGCAATTTCATGTCCAGTCTGTATCTTTCTACCAATGGAAGCAAATTAAAACTACTGTGCAGAAATATTATCCATAATGAGACAATGTGCAGAACACAGGTTTGACCCTCAGCAGGTCAAGATCACACTTACTCATTATGAAAAAATTTCAAGTTTTCTTAATTGTTTCTTGTCACTCTGTATATTTTAAAAAAGAAAGAAGGAACTTAAAACAAGTGCCACTCTGTATCTTTTAAAAAAGAAAGAAGGAAATTAAATCAATTTGATAGATGATGGGCAGAGCAAATTTTTGGGGGCCAGTGGATCGAAATTGGCCCCACTGCATGGATAACTTGATTCAATAGATTTAAAAAGAAAAAAATATTTTATGGTCACCCATTTCAATATTACTCAGCCAATAACAATTAAACTTCAACAATTGAATGTTGAAAATTGAGTACCGCTCAGGCCAGTGCTAGGGAGCATTAGGGATGTTGTACTTATTCATTATCTCTCATGTATAGACTCAATCAAAACAAGTCTCAATCAAACGAGTCTGCAATTTTCATTTTATTTTGACGCTTCTAGTGCTTCTGAAGGATCACTTTTTCCCAGAATTTCATATGTGGATAAACCTTGATTTCTATCTACAACACTCATTTTCAGATTTAAAGGACAAAGTTCACTGGGATATATAAAAATGTATGGGCCATAAATGAAAGTGTACCTAGAGACTTCAAACTCGATGAATTCTACCTTCCATATCAATTTTCAGGTCAAAATATCAAAGGTCAAAGGGATCTTTTATTTTTCAGAAAATGAGTGGGCCATAAAATGGAAGTACATACACCTATTTACTTCAAACATAGTATGTGATTCATCTTGATAAGTTCTACTTTCCACATTCATTTACAGTCAAAAGGTCAAAGGTCAATGGGACCTGATATATCAAACAATGCAACTTGCCTTAAAATGAAAGTGCTTTTAGAAAGGAACTTCAAACTTGTGTGTGTGTACATTTTGATGAATTCTACCTCTCAAACCCATTTTAAGGGTGAAAGTTTTGTTTTACTTGTTGGTGTACTGTCTTGATACTTGGCCATAACTAGTTGACCAGACTATACTTTACCTTAAGTCATAAATAACCTTGACCTTCAATGTCAAATGTCTAAAAATTACTTGATTTTTTTCTCAATTTTGCTATTAGTTGTTATAAATTTGTTATGTCTTCAAACTTGAACACAACAGTCCTTATGGATAGACCTTCAAGTTAACCAGATAAACCTTGACCTTCACTCCGTTATTTCCTTTTCATAATACTTTCTGCAGTACTTATGAAACCTCATCACTTTTTATGTGACATCTCTAGTTTTCTTTCATTTTTATCCCACCTATGTAATCGGGAGGAGGATATTGTTTTCGTGTTGTCCATTCATCTGAATTTCATTTTTGCGCTATTTCTCTGATACAACTGGCTGGAATTTAACGAAACTTTCTGGGAACTATTATAACCAAGAGCAGATGCGCATATTGTTGCCTTGTTCTGGTCAGACTCTTTAACACATAGTAATTGCCCTTGATTAGTTATGCTGTATGCATATAGAGCAATAATGCTTTCTGCGCTACTTCTCAGCAACTACTGGCCGGAATTCAACAAAACTTTATGGGGACCATCAATACCTAGAGGAAATGAGCATATCAGTGCCTTGTTTCAGATAGTAGCAATAGGTTGTTTTGAAGATTCTATGCTGGTAAAATGGCCAGTAAGACATTATATAGGTTAAACAAAGAGGCACTGAAATGCCCAACTATGTCATCATTTAAACTTAGCTAAGATACATGGACTAAACTACAGGTCTTCAAAACATAACCTACATTTATTTCTTACAAGTATACCATGACATTGTGATTTAAACTTGTCAAGTAACTTAATATGTTTTGACATTACAGACTGTCAAGCAAAGAAAGAAAGCAATAGTAAAAGAATATCCAGTGGTAGCCATCTGTGATGTAAGTGTAGTCAAACTTATCAGCAAAGTCTTTGTCTTATTAACATTTTCAAAGTAATAAAAACAACCCAATAGTTGAAAATTATTATTTGAGTAAGTTTTGAGCATATAAATGTTAACAACTGTCTGTCAATAGCAGGGTTTGAATTTAACATTCCCAAACATGCAAAATGCAAGTCATAAATGCAAATAACTTTTCTGTCAAAAGTCAATTGATATAAATTGATTTTACTTTGCTAAAGAAATGAAATTTCAACAAAAAAATCATCACTATGGCAGTTCAGATGAAAATTGCACCTTGTTTACTTCAGTTTTGCTTTTTTCAAAAATTAACTTCACTGAAAACTTTATTTCCCAAGCAGTTAAGCAAGTATGTATATCAATTATGGCTTCATTTAAGGTCAAAGTTAAATAAATGACTGTTTTGAGGCACTTTAATGCTTATTTTTAGAAAATAAATGATAATTTCACATTTTCAATGTCTGATTAAATAAACTAATTTGTTTAACAAAATACACAATGCTTTTGGTATGCATGTACCACTTATAGTGCAACATTTTGTTTTGTTGTTATGGCTGTCAGCATTTCAGTTCCTGTTATAATAAAGGAACAAACATACTTTATTTGAAAGCAGATGAGTCAATCGCATGTTCATCTTTTTAAGTAAATCAACAAAGACAGATATATGCAAATTTAAAAATACCATGAAGGAAAAATGCAAGTTCTTTATGACCTTTTAGAGTTAGAATTTCTTATACTCGCAAAAATTTGCTAATTGTAAAAAATGTTTAATTCTCTCCCTAAATAGGACTATGTATTGCCAAGCGAGTGACAAATTGATAATGTGGGTTAATACAGGTGAATGATGCATAAAATTGGTTTGCGAAACAATGTGCAATAAAAAATAATTCAACAGCTCACCAGAACTGAAGGTTCAGGGTGAGCTATTGGTATAGAAGGGGAATGTTCCATTGTTTATCATCATGTGTCAACATTCATTTTTTTCTCTGAAACAAATGGGCAGATTAACATCAAATTTGGTCTGTGACATCCTTGTGACATTCGCACTTCAATTTGCTCAAATCATTTGAATTGGTTTCTTCAAGAGGTCAACAGAGCTAAAAATGAAAAACTGTTAAACATCTCTTTCTACTGAACTAACTGATAGATGAGCACCAAAGTTTGTTTGTAGGATTCTTAGGTGATTTTTTTATCAAGTTTGCTCATATTCATTTGATTGGCCTTAAAAGGGGCCACTTGAGCTAAAAATAGAAAAAAACCATTAAACATCTACTACTGAACTAATGGATGGATGATCACCAGACTTTATCTGTAGCATTCTTACATGATCTTTTATCAAGTTTGCTCATATTCATTTGATTGGCCTTAAAAGGGGCCACTTGATCTAAAAATAGAAAAAAAAAACCTTTAAACATCTACTACTGAGCTAATGGATGGATGATCACCAGACTTTATCTGTAGCATTCTAAGATGATCTTTTATCAAGTTTGCTCATATTCATTTGATTGGCCTAAAGGGGGCCTCTTGAGCTAAAAATAGAGAAAAAACTTTATACAACTTCTGCTGAACTAATGGATGGATGATCACCAGACTTTGTCTGTATCATTCTTAGATGATCTTTTCTCAAGATTGCTGATATAAATTTGATTGGCCCTTTTTAGGGGCCTCTAGAGTTGAAAATAGAAAAACCTTTAAACATCTTCTGCTACTGAACTAATGTGTTATAAAAGTGCATATATCAAGGACTTAGAACTTTGTATGTGAATGTATCTTTATGACTTCTACCTCCCATTCCCATTTTGAGGTAAAAAGAACAAAGTTCAGATTACTGATACCTTATAGCTGACACATTGATTTTGAAGTTGCAGATTCCAAGGTCAATGTCATTTTGAACTTGCATGTCTAAATGGTTTCCGACAATAACTCATCAAAAACAATTGGCCCACGCCCATCAAACTTTATAGAATTATTGATCTTTTGCACTTCATCAACCTCAAGAGCAAGGTCATATTAGCCTTGTATGTCAGAAAGTTTTCTAACCAAAATCTTGACACACATGGCCCATAATCTTTGGAGCATGCCAAAATGTTGTCTTACCAATAACTTGACAACCAATGGGCCCCTTGCTCACAAACTACAGAGATGCACATGTATGATATTATTTTTATTGCCAAATCATTCCACAGCCTTTGCGATTTGAGCCCAGAATTCTAATTTCTGATATTAAAACAAATCATTTTACTTGTTTTTTGTACAACTTCCAACTTGCTGAAAATTGGGGTATGCATGTTTTACAAACATTTCTTGATCTTTAAGGACAGCCATTTGTTTTTTCTATTGGGTCTTGTAAAAGGACCATTCCTCCCAAAAATGTAAGCTTGAGATATCATATTGCCATATCTGATAATATTTCTTTGATTTGTTATGCAAGGGTTGGTGTTTTGATCCTTTGACATTTTGAAATTTTCCCCTGACATTTGATTTTGCACCTTGAGTTTAATTTTTGTTTATACCTCCCTAGGCATATTACAAAAATTGTGTGGGACACATGCAGAAAAATTGATAATCAAAACCAAAAATGTGATGAAATTAGCAAACAACCCCCACCCCCGCCCCTCTAAAAAAATTAACAAAACAAAGCAAAAACAAAACAAAAACATACACACACACCTAGAAACAAACAGACTTTTTTTTTCTTTCAGATAATAAATTGCTCAAGATGTATCAAATTAGAATATCAATATATGAAGACATTGATGGAAATGGATCTTTTGAAGAAACAAAACACTCTGTTGAAATTGGATGGAACTGAATTAGAAAGTGGTACATATATTTGAAATGTTTTGATTAACAAAGATACATTTTCAGCTCATCTGAGCATGCTCACTCAGGGTGAGCTTTTAGGATTGGTAAAAATGTCTGTCATCCGTTGTCCTTCCACATATTTTGTTTAACTCTCTAGCAGTCTGTTTCAGTCCAAAATTTCTAGGAATTGGTCGGAAGATTTGTTTAGGTTTTTCTAGCTCAAGCTGGAAAATGGGTCATCTTGGGTCAAAAACCAATTAAACAGCCCAAATTTGGCAAAACCTTGGTACACTCTAGAGTCTACTGTTTCATTCCAAATATCCTGGAAATTGGTCTGAAAATTGTTCAGTTGATGGAAAATGAGTCATCTCAGGTCGAAAACTAGGTCACACAGCCCAAATATGGAAAATCCTTATTTACACTCAAGAGGCTACTGTTTCAGTCCAATTATCCTTGAAATTGGTCAGAGTTTGTTTAGTTGATTTCAAACTAAAGTACTAACATGGATCATATCTGTAAAAAAACTAGATCACACAATACCAATATGTGGAAACCTATTTTAAGTTGACATTATTTCAGGAGCAGAAATCATATCAGTTTTAGATGAAAACATTATAATCTATCAGTTAAATATGATTCAATATACCTTAAGGGTGTAATGGTATACCTTACTCGCGGTATACCGTACCGTTTTCACCTGATACGGTTCACGGTACGACAAATCACTCGTACGGTACGGGACTGTACGGCATTTTAAACCATTTTCAAGGGAAGTAATTATTCAGAAGATGAATTTTAATCAGTGTCAGTTTGTTTTAAGTCAAAATATAGAAACATTTTGGATTTAAGGTGAAAAAAATAATCGGGAAAATGTATTCTTTGACTGCTATTTCAATGGACCTTTCCGGTGTTTACAGTTTTATGTAAATTGGCTAACTTGTTATCCAATCGCTACACTGAGATATTACATAGTCATTGGTTGACCTGGTTTGCACAAAAGAACACATGCTAATGTTTGTGATACTGTTTGTGAGCAGCTGACCTAGCAATGAATGGAAAAGGTGTGGCTAAATGTTCCGCTACGAAAAACCGGAAAGGTCCATATGCTGAATTTATTTTTGTGACATTGTTATTTTGTAAGAACTGACCATCGGCTGAAACTGCCTTTTTGGAAACACTTTTTGGCAAGCTGAAATTCGTGAATAAATGATAATACGATATCTTGACACTTTTGCAAATAAATCCCACATTGTTGAATCCAAAATATTGTCAAAACACTGCAATAGACAGCTAGTTGTGTAGAGTTATGGCTATGCTATTTTGTTGGATATTTTCCATACCTTTCCATACTGTCAACAGATTTATGTAGCTGTTAGTAAATATGTTATAACCATTATGAATGTGACATAAGTGAGTAAAGTAAAGTAATTTTTGTGTTCAGCTTATGCTCATTATTACACGTAGTCTGCAATTGTCTCATCCAGTACATCTAACTGTTGAACATTTTAAATTTTTCCATTAAACTTGAGTAATTTATCCAAAATAGTTATCATCTTACATATGACAATTCAAATGAGATGTTTCTATCACCTGTGCTTCTATATTGAATGATATTTTTATTGTAGGTATTTTACTTCTCAAAGCTTCAGAAAATATTAAAGCTTTTAGCCTTTTACTTTAACTATCAAAATGTCAATAGAAAACATAATGTTGTTACATCACAACTTTAAATTAATTTTGCATAATACATCTGTGTGAAAATATAAAGTTTAAATGATTACAGACAATTTCTTTAGTCAACCTGTATCTTGATACATATCATATCGTGAGGTGAGCGTATCGTTACACCCTAAATATACCTGCTGCTAACAATATTAGTTGTTCCTTGTCATGTAGAGTCTCAATTATCAAGTGGGTGATATCAGGGCTATTATGGCCCTCTGGTGAATTATTCTAAACACTTACGTATGCTTATGAAGCGGTTGATAATGGATGAATATTTTTTTTAAATGTTTTATTCAGGCTTTTCAATTATATAATCTTTTGTAAAATAAAATGAAATGATCTTATTTGTAGATGATGATGAAAATAGTGTCAACCAAAAGAAAAGAAACTATACATCGATTAACACAAGCATTTCTAAAAGGTAAATATATTTCATATCATGTTTTGGCAATACCTGTGCTGTTGTTTCCATTGAAAAAACTTCTATTTAAAGAGTAAAATAGCTAATTCAAATGAAAAAAAGCAATTCAATATAAAATTTTCTTACTGAACCTCTGTGGTTCTACTCAGGTGAGATTTGTGCCTGGAATAATGCACAAAGGGGCACCTGAGGTTTTCCTCTATTAATTAGGCTTGGAAAATTGCCATATGACCTCACACTGTGTTTGTGCGATATTTCCAAACCAAAAATGAAATTAAGAGTTTTAAATATTTTTTATACCCCCCCCCCCCCGAAGTTGGGCGGGGGGTATATAGGAGTCACCCGGTGGTCGGTCGGTGGGTCAGTCAGTTGGTCGGTCCAGCCATCCGTTGCATTTTCCTTGTCCGGAGCATAACTTGAAAACCATTAGTTAGAATTCAATACAATTTCATACAATGATCAAGCACATAGAGAGGAAGTGCAGTGCATAAGAACCATAACTTGATCTTGACTAATTACAGAGTTATTGCCCTTTGTTACTTTTCTTTGTCTGGAGCATAACTTGAAAACTACTGGTTGGAATTCAAAACAACTTCATAAAATGGTCAAGCACAATAAGGGAAAGTGCAGTGCAGAAGAATAATAACTCTATCTAAAGTAATTACAGAGTTATTGCCCTTTGTTACTTTTCCATTGCTTTCATTTGTCCAGACCATAACTTGAAGACTAATGGTTGGAATTAAATATAACTTCATACAATGGTGAAGCACATTGAGAGGAAGTGCAGTGCTCAAAAACCAAAACTCCATCTTGACTAATTACAGAGTTATTGCCCTTTGTTACTTTTCCTTGTCCGGAGCATAACTTGAAAATTACTGGTTGGAATTCAAAACAACTTCATACAACGGTCAAGCACAATAAGAGAAAGTGCAGTGCACAAGAACCATAACTCTATCTAAAGTAATTTCAGAGTTATTGCCCTTTGTTATTTTTTCATTGCTTTTTTTGTCCAGAGCATACCTTAAAATAATGGTTGGAATTCATTACAACTTCATACAATGATCAAGCACATAGAGAGAAAGTGCAGTGCAGAAGAACCATAACTCCATCTTGACTAATTACAGAGTTATTGCCCTTTGTTACTTTTCCTTATCAGGAGCATAACTTGAAAACTACAAGTTGATATTCAATACAACTTCATACAATTGTCGAGCACATTAAGAGGAAGTGCAGTGCACAAGAACCATAACTCTGTCCAGAGTAATTATAGAGTTATTGCCCTTTGTTACTTTTCCATTGCTTTTTTCCTGTCCAGAGCATAACTTGAAAACTACTGGTTGGAATTCAATACAATTTCATACTATTGTCAAGTATATTGAGAGAAAGGGCAGTGCACAGAAGCCATAACTCTTTCTTGACTCATTTAAGAGTTTTTGCCCTTTGTAACTTTTATTGTTCAGTGCATAACTTGAAAATTAATGGTTGGAATTCAAAGAAACTTCATACATTGGTCAAGGACAGTGAGATGAAGTGCAGTGCACTAGAACCATAACTCTATTTGGACTAATAACAGTTATTGCCCTTTGTTACTTTTTTTGTCCAGTGCATAACTTGAAAACTAGTGGTTGGAATTGAATACAACTTCATACAATGATCAAGCGCAATGAGAGGAAGTGCAGTGTACAATAACTATAACTCCGTCTTCAGTATTTGTAGAGTTATTGCCCTTTGTTCCTTTCCTTGTCAAGTGCATACCTTAAAAACTAATGTTTAGAATTCAATGAAACTGCATACAAAGGTCAAGCGCAATGAGAGGAAGTGCAGTGCTCAAGAAGTGTAACTCTTTTTGGACTTATTACAGAGTAATTCAATAAAACTTCATCAATGGTCAAACACATTGAAAGGAAATGCAGCATACAAGAACTACAACTATCTTTAATTGCCCACAACTATAACTCTATTTCAGTTGTTTTGCAAGGTATTCTGTTACTAGTAACTTCCTCATTTCCGAAGCAGTCTTGCGGGGGGGGGGGTATTAATCACATTTAGTGATAGTTCTAGTTTAAATACTGGTTGCAAGATATGTCTAGGATATGTAATGATTAATTTTCTCAACACTTGTTTAAGCTCACATGAGCACAACATGTTTATAATGAAATATGATCCCCTCTGTCTGTTGTCTATCAACATTTTCTTAAAAGAACAATTCTCTGAATTCAGTGACTGGATATTAACCAAACTACATAGGAATGATCCTTTGGTTGTCCCTTATCAAAGTTGATCTAATGGTTACGGTTGTTGCATAAATAGGTCACATTTTTATACCATACATGGTTTGCAGTAAACCCTCAAAGACATAAATTTCTTGTGACCAATACTTGATTGGCTCATTCATTTGATTGGTTCATTCATAAAGATATGAAGAATATTTTTTGGGAATTTGGCTTAAATGCTTATCTTTGCAAAGTGTTGTGAAGAAACTCATGCCATTACTGAGCTAGCTAAAGGTCCAGGTCACCTTGAAGGTCATAGGTAAAAGATCTTGCAATTTTTGTTCGCTCTAAAACTCCTATACCCATTGAAAGATTTTCTTCCTACTTGGATCAAATGTTCACCTTAAACTCAATAAGACAATATGTGGGATTAATGTGGGATAAATGACTCACTCTTGCTACCTCCGGGTTAAGGTCATTCTTTGGGTCAAAGGTCAAATTTTCTGTATACCATATATATACCATTTAAAAAAGCATGGTTCAAATTTTCACCTTTGGACGGCAATATGTAGAACTCATATATGACAATTATTCTATAAATAATATACATGTACCATGTGAAGGATTTTGTTCATAATTTCTCTCAAATTTTCATCATTACAAGATGGAATGCAGTAAACTCATGCAGATTCTATGCAGGGTCAAGGTGTTCTTTGAAGGTCAAATATAAGGCTATTTTATGTTGACTTTATAAATCCTATATCTTATGGAAGATTTTCTTCAAACTCTCATATGTTCACCACATTATGGCAGTGTTGTAAACCCAACAAAAAAAAATAAGCTGCAGCTTTTATGAGAAGTTAAGAGAAAAGTCTTTTTATAAACTTCATATAATGAAGATCATTCATCTTCTTGTATATAAAGTTAAAATATACTTGAAAATACAAGAGAAAAGGGGGAAAGGTTTTGTTATCATAGTTTTTTATTGGTTGTGAAGAAATTAACTAAACCTTGATAAAAAAATAATATTTGCCACAGTTGTGAAGCTTTGCAAGATCTGTTTATACTGAAATGTTTTGCTCATGATAGAGAAATGAATCATTAAGCAAAAATTATATTGGCTAAAATTAAATGAAATTGTATCCTTTTCCAAAAAATATAAAGACAGTTTAGGTAAATATTAACTGAGGGAAATAATAATTGTAAGATATTGTTTAGTAATGGTCAGTTCATTTTTCCCAGAGCATGAAAAAATCATGTTTTTTATATCTTAATTTAAGTTACCATTAATTAAGAGAAAAGTTGCCAATTTTATGACATGATAATTAACTGGGAATATAAATTTCACATATGCATGTTAATAAGTTTTATTGATCTCAAAGTACAGATAGATTGCATTATAATGTAGAAATACACACAGAACTACTGACCTACTTTTGTCCCCACATATAACAAGTGTAGAATTATGTAAAAAGAATGGCTTCCCTTTCTTGAATTTATAAGACAAAATTACTATAGAAGTTAAAACTAAGTTTCCTACAGGCTGGGCTATTTTTGACCCAAGGATCAATATTTATATAACTGATCAAGAGTTCTACAATTCAATACTTGTTTACATTGTTTCTCACTGTGCATATATGTTAAGCTATTGGCTAATCAGATTACATGTTGTATTGTCGACAGTTCACATTGACCAATTAGCATTTCTGAAATTTCTTATTGCTTCTTGCCCGGCTACAGAATGTCCATGGATTTCCATGGATATAAGCATGGACAGTGTCCATGGAGTATTGAAACACTTGTCCATGGACAATTCTTTATATCCCTGGACAGTGTCCATGCTATCCATGTCCATGCTTTCCATGTCCATTGTCCATGATACCCATGGACAATGTCCATGATGTCCATGGACAATGTCCATTCTTACCATGGACAATGTCCATTCTTACCATGGACAATGTCCATTCTTACCATGGACAATGTCCATTCTTTCCATGGACAATGTCCATTCTTTCTATGGACAATGTCCATTCTATCCATGTTCAAAACCAATTTTGAGGAATCTTTTATGACATCCATGGTCAATGTCCATGATATCACACTTGTGTTGAGATACCTGTTTAAAAGTCTGTAAAAAAAGGTCCCACACAATCTTTTTCACTTGGGAGTTGCACTAGTGTAACAATGATTTTGAATTGACAAGGCTGTAAAATTATGACACATTAAAGATTTATTTACACCATATATGAAGTAAAACAAGTTCTCAAATGTTCTCATTTATATTGTTCTGAATGGCTAAAACGGCCACAGTTTATTTTGTACACATATTTATTGTTTCACTGTTTTGTTGGCACGAGATGGCTTGACAATGTCACGCAGCTTTTCCCTGACCATCACTTGTGTGACATGCGGAAAATTCCTTTTGTAAAGAACAAAACAAATTATATAAATATTGACTTGACAAATCAATGTATTATACTTAACCCTTGAATATAACAATTCAAATTATCATGGACAAGTAGCAATTTGAAGACACTTACAAGTCCTGCAAGACGATTGGCTATGAAAAATTTTTTCAATCCCTGTTAAAAACTTCCAATGAAATTAAAAAACTTTCAATGAAATTTAAATAACCAAGAAAGAAAAAAAAAAGAAACACTGACCGTAAATCCCTGTCAACTTTTCTTGGTCAACAGGTGGCCTTTTTTCGCCACTTTTGGATGCTTTCCCTGTCAATGATTTTCCGGCATATTCCTCCTCTTTATACAAAAAGCGGAATAGAACAATGGCCATCTTACTGTAGCTTGTTATGCCAATAACCTTGCTCTGCAGTTGGTCCTGAAATGTAATATTGGCATTTTCAGTTCTTTTGGATTCTTTGTTATCAATTTTATTACTGAAAACATTTGTAGCATTTTTGAGCTTTATTCATAACATAACACCATTTGTATTAAGGATTAACGAGGTTGCCCTTTACAACATAATTAGTATTGTTTAAACATGATTGATAAAAAACATGAAAGGGTAAAAAAAGTTAAGATGGAAAACTTTCAATTAAATGATTTTTGCAGAAAATCAGCACAGAGTTATCAAGTAAACACCATGCTCTTTGATGAAAATGATTTATTTTTGGTCAAAATCAACATTATGATAAACTTGTGTCAATTATTTCCCTGCTTTTCCTATATTTATATAATGACAACTTTTATGTTATGGCTGTTTAAATTACTCAATCCTTCACAAGTACTTAATTACCACTGAAAGTTTGAAATTTGTTCAGTGGAGTCAGTATAACAATAATATAATATGTATAAAACTAGTCCAACTAATTGTACTGCGCGACGAGATATTGTGCTATTTTCGTGTCTGGGCAATATCTAGCGAGATTCTGCCCCAGAACGAAAATATCTCAGAATCAAGCTTTGGCACGTCAATATATTTTGACTATGTATAAAACATGAAGAACAACATTTTGTTCAGACTTTGAAAAATAACATGCATTTATATGAAAACATGTTACTTCGACTTTTTTCAACAAAACAAACTAAATTATTACCAGGATGGTTTTGTAAGCATTCTGTATTCAACAGTACATTTATCACTTTTCCATCTGACATCCTTTGAGTTGAAACATCTCATGTGACTCCAAGACTTGAAAGTTTGCAACCTAATATGTTGAAAAAATAAACATATGTACATGAGTAACAAGAAATTACAATTAAGACATATTATGAATTAATGTGAATTTGGAAATTCATTGCTTGATCAATCACCAATATTTTGAATGGAAAATTGTAATATCTGATTTAAAATTTCCCGCCATTTTTTAAAAATGAAAAACATTTTCTTAACTATTAATATTGAAAAGTTACATGTATGTAGAAATACAATAACTGAAACAGTGTATACTTGCAAAGAAAGTTTGAAAAAACTAAAATAATAAGTGTTAAAAAATAAAAATACATTAATTTTGTACTTACTGTTAGAAATGGTTATATACATGTAGTTCCCTCCATTTTAACTGAATCATGAAATACACATGTTTAAAAGTTCATATTTCCAGAAAACTCTTGTAAATTTGTCCAGTTTAAACTCATTTGGTCTAATTTCCAATGCTCCAACATAATATTTCAAGTTATAACTTTTAAGCAGTATAGGCACTAATAAACATTATCTTTCAATGCTTCTGTTCAAATGACCCGCCTGGAAGGAGGTTCTGACCTGTGATTTGTTCTGCAAGGGTATTAAGTTACTTGGGAGCTACAGTGTAATATAGTATGTTGTAAACCTGCTTTACCTCTTTCTATTCTCTTATATCAGATAGGTGAGTTTAACTATGGTAGTTATGAAAACAGAAGGTTCCACTTGAGGGGTCATAAATGTTTACATTGTGGCTGATGCTAATTTGAATGTTCCAGAAATTAATCACTATACATAAGTTACATCTACATAGGATGAATATATAAATTATATATACTTCAATAGAGATACATAATAATAATTAATTTATCAAAAATAAATAAAGAAATATAAGTGCATAACAATTACATCTGTTCTTAAATTTAAATTGTTTCTATTAAATTGTGTATTTATTTTTCTAACTTAATTAGGGTAATATATGATAATGAACCACAAAAACAGAAACAAACAAAACTTAAAACAAGTCTACAAGTAGTGAGTAGATTATCTTTTTATATAATTGAAATGGTATGCATAAGGGTACAGTATATTTTTCTATATTATCATTTAACTGAAGTTTGGAATTTAAAAAAAATAAAATAAAAAAAAAATCTACTTGATCTTACTATATTTGATTTCTTCTTTTCATGCTGAATAATTTGATACCCAATATGAACATATAATTTTTTTAAGAATGGCAGTTATGATTTTTTTAAACATTTTTCATGTTTTGGCACTTAGTTTTTTTTTTGCATATCCATCCAATCACTTTTGATAAAAATTTCTAAGTATGAGCAATGAAGTTGACCATGGACAATGTCCACATTAGACATAGTTTTTTTGTACTATGTCCATGAACATTTTTATATTCCCTGGACATTGTACATGTTATCCATGGACATCGTCCATGTTATCCATGTTTGTTAGTATGGACAATGTCCATTCACTTGACTTATCCATGTATTTCCATGCTCTTTCCATGGATATCCATGGATATCCATGGTCATTTTAAGGCTGTCCATGGACAATCTGTAGCCGGGTACTGACAATTACACAAAATAATGAGAGTAACAACTGATTGTTGTTGATTAAATTATTTAATGGAATTAGCAATTAAATAATTCGTGCAATGTTTCGCCAGTTAAGATAGGACAGTGTTCATCGTATAATAAAGAATGAACCAGTGAAAAACTTGATTGTTAAAAACTGTTGGAAGGAAAATTTTTTAAAAAAGTAGATGTTGGATACTTTCAGTTTTACTTTGATTTTTTGGATGCGTTTCTTGGAAATCCAATGTAGATTTGCATTTAACACTGCAAAAACATCTCACTAAGGAAGGAAAAATTAATTCACCCTAAAAATAATACCTTGGTCAAGTCCTGTATTAACAATTTTTACAAGTGAAGAGAAATTTCATTCATTGATGCTACACTGATTGCAAACTATTAAATAATGCAATATAATGTTCTGTCAATCTTATGTATTTTCACTTATTGCGTCTGTGAATTATATTAACTTATTTCCAAAATATTTAAATGACCACATTAAAGAATCTGATAAAGATTTCATGTACATAATCATTATATAGTAAATAATTATGTGTATAATATATATTAATGATTACAAAAAATATGCAATATGAATAATTACAAAACAGAATTGTACCAATATAACCTCTAATCTGAAAAAAAATCATTTTTCCATTGCTTGAGTTTGGCCCTAGATAAGACAGACACCTGTGTAAGAGAGACAGTTTTGCAAATTCCAAAGACTGTCTCTCTTAAAGAGGTTTGACTGTAGTTATATCATGATGTCCTGCTGTAGGTGAAGTATGCAGACTTTAAACAAAAATTTTTGGTATTAACTGCTTGTTCTTGAAATTCATAACATAGTTATTTCTTTATATTTTCATTTCATCTATTGCATTCCAGATGATAAAAAAAATCATATTTATTAACCTATGTTATAATGTAACATTTTGTGATTTTAATAAATAGTGCAAATTTACCAGCAAGTCCAATTCAAAATCAGTCTGCTGTGGAAAAAAATGACCAGATGTCTACAGATAGCTCGTCTGAATCAAGTAATATAGTTTTCTATATATGTTATATATTTATGTTATAGGGGTGAGTAACGGTGGTTCTATAGATACATTGTATTGAACATTTCTGTATTGGAAAATATCGAACACATACATAATAAATTATAAAGAGTTGAATGACAGAAAATTACTGTGATTTCATTTCAACCACTTGATCAGTAACTTTTTGCACCTTTACTGTTACTTTATCAATATACAGGGGTAGATTCCCAGAAGTATGGCAAATCACAAGTAAAACATGGACATCGAGTTGTAACCGATCCACTAAGCTGCCTAGCAATGGTATGATGACAATGTACAAAATATCAGAGCATTTTCATAAAAATATAGATAGCTCTGTTCCAAAACTGTTTTAAGTAAAAGAATTTCTCATTTCATTTTAAAAGAGCCCATAATATTGTGACTTTGCCACATCCTTCTGTTGCAGGTTTGTTTTCCTCGAATTGACGTGATCAAATTTATTCTTTTCAATGTCTTATCATTGGTTGATAAAACACAGTCACAGCGAGCTTTGCCAGGTCTAAAGGCAATTTGTGTGCCGTTTTCATATGTTCTAAAATTTTAAAAACTTCTATGAGATTTTTTTCTTGCTTTTTTCTTTAATTGGGCAATAAGTAAGAAAAAGCATATGGGAGAAGTAAAACACTAAAATATATATTTGTTTTATTTCCCAATACAAAATATTAAATGTTACATTATACAATGTACTGTGAAATCATTTTTGTTCGCATGATAGGATGAATTTTCACGTATTTCGCGCTAGGACACATGCGCGAATTTAAGGCCGCGCTAATACAAAACCAAGCAAATTGTTATAGCTGTCAAAATATCAGATTCGTGCAAAAGAGATGCATAGTACACTACATCTCCCTAATCATGCCATCAGTCGGTCTTGTGTATTGTTTCAAGAAATTACTAGCAGTAACTTTATTATCTGAACAAAATAATGTTTAAAACCCCTACTAATTTATCGTCCAATTTGCAATGTACATGTATTTGTAAGTAACAATTTACTGTCTATTGTCCATCCGTTGCTACAGTCAGCACGATATATGTTTATCATTTCGTTTTGAAATGTTAATTTTTTTACCAATTAAGTCCAATACACGTGTACTAATTGTATCACTTTTATTTTTCCTCAATGATAATTCGTCTGTAAAATTGCATTACAATAATAATTAGTGCTATGGCCGCGTCATGTTTTGTAAAGTAAAATATTCAAATACTTCGAAAATTCCAATCCTAACTTTTTGACTTTATTGTTTTATGTCTTGACATACCCATGTAAAATGAAAAAATTTGACGCCAATTATATGTACAAATTATTGAATTGAAATTTTGGATTTTTTTTTCAGTTTGGAATAACATAATTGTCAAGGTAATTTTGCATATAAATGAAATAAGCGCTCCTAAATTTTATTAAAGCCAGTTATGATTAACACTTATGTCAGAAATGCAAATCATCGTGATCTATAAATGATGACAAGTTTGCTTGACACTAATTACTTGTTTGACATGTCAGATTGTTTATTCGAAGTTGAGCACTCTGATTGACACATATACTTGCGAGATAGGTGACAACGTTGGAGAGAGTCATTGTTTGCTTTTTTTTCTTTTTTGATTAATGAATTTTGAATTTTTATAAGTAAACTGAAAACACTATTTGGCGATTTTTTTCTTTATTCTTGAATTGAAAATACGCTAATTTATGACTGTGCGAACTTACCTTTTATGTTGTTTGTGCGAAATTTCATGCCAGCGAAATTAAATGATATCACAGTATGTAAATTAAAAAAAAGTATTGATAGAAATATGGGTATCCATCATTTTGTATTGATAAAAATATTGTATTGATAATTCTTACCAATACTCACCCCAATATGTTATATATATATTCTTGAAATGTTGCTTTCTTTTACTATTCAGCATTCATTTCATACTTTATAAATTGTGCAAATTTTAGCATTACTTGTAGATTTAAGGCATAGAAAGACAGTAGTTTCATTTACTTGATAGCTTTGCCACTCTTAAACTTGTTAACTTGATAGCTTTGTCAGTCTTAAACTTGTTTACTTGATAGCTTTGCCACTCTTAAACTTGTTTACTTGATAGCTTTGTCACTTTTAAACAGCTTTGTCACTCTTAAACTTTTTTATCTTAACTGTTTAGTCTTGAGTTCATTTGAATGACCCCTTCATTTTTAAGTTATATAATGTCAGTGTAGAAATTGACACATCAAATAGATTTTTGATGGAAAATGCTTTGTATGAATTTGCTCTTTCAGCAAGATTTTATTTGCTCTATTTTTTCAGAAACAAACAAAGTAATCAACAATTCAGAAGATGTGGAAATTGAAAAATACTGCTTCATAAATGACATGTAAGATCTTTATCATAATTATCAAACTTAAATGTTGTCATTGCCCCTGTGGCATTATCAAGTTTCTAGATGCATATGTATTTTAGCTGGCTGTTTTGTTACAAGTTAGATGCCATACTGTGACCAGTTTAACATTGACAGTCGCCTGAAAAGTCAAAAGTCTGAATAAACATGTAAGACAAATTAACATAAAACATACTGTTATTAGTAATTGGTAAATTCCAGTGTGTATAATCATCAGCTACAAAGTGTTCAAAACTTAAAAAAGTTATTTACTTATTACACATAATTGTTAGGTGTTGATGTGTAGCCAAAGATTATTGTCAAAGTGGGGAGGGCATCCGTGGCTGAGTGGTTAAGGTTGTTGACTTCAAATGCCTTGCCTCTCAGCTGTGACTTTGGTGGTTCTACTCAGGTGCCGGTTTGTGCCCTTAATAATGTACAGAAGGGCACCTTATGTCTCCCTCTTCCATTAAAGCTGGAAAAGTGGTCATATGACCGATACGGTGTTGGTGCTGCTTTAAACCAAACTTAAAAAAAAATCAAAACAATTGCCTCTCACTGCTGTAGTTTTTAGCCACCCCAGCATCCTCAAATTCTTTCGTTAAAGAAAGCTGTCAAAGAATTACAAGAAGTGACAAATTATTTCAACATCATAAACGTCTGCACTACAAATCAAAATAAATTACAAATTCTTAACCAGCATATACCACTCTAACTTTTGCTTACAATGTTCATTTTGTCTTTCAAAATATTTTTATAATAAACAGAAATCCAACTAGAGTATCTCCCTTTTATAGTGTTAATAGATTTATGACCATATAAATATTCAGTACAATAGCTGATGATACTTGAATTATAATGAGAGTTTTGTGATAGCAACATTTCTGTTTATTCAATGTCATTTTCCTTTATTATTTCTATAAAGTCAGGATCACAAAGTTTTTGAACCAGACCATTTATGTTCCAGGATAAAACATATAATTGCCCTTCTTGACACCTCTAAAAAGTACTAATATTTAAAGTGTTTTTTATACGCCCGTTTAAAAAACGGGACATATTATGGGAACGCCCCTGGCGGGCGGGCGGGCGGCGTCCAATTTTGTCCAGAACATATCTCCTACACACATGGAGGGATTTTAACGAAACTTAATAGAAATGTTCACCACTATGAGAAGCTGTGTCGCACACATGAACCAGGTCTCTAGGTCAAAGGTCAAGGTCACACTTAGAGCCCATTGAAAAATACTTGTCCGGAGCAAAACTTTTACATGCAAAGAGGGATTTCAATATAATTTGGCACAAATGTTCACCATTGTAAGGCAGGGTCGCGTGCAAAATTCAGGTCCCTGCGGCCAAGTTGAAGGTCACAGATAGAGGTCAAAGTTCAGGTAAAAATATGAAAATGTGTATAGGGACCATTTAGTCATCATTTATTGAGGGATTGTAACACAAATGGTCATTATCATGACTAAAGCTGTGACACATGTAATTTATGTCAATATATGCAAGGTCAAGGTCACTAAAGATGATGAAATATCCATATTTTGTCTGGAGCATATCTCCTACATGCATGGAGGAATTTTAATGTTACTTTTTAGAATTGTTCACCGCTACAAGACGTAGTACCCTGCACATGAACCAGGTCTCTAGGTCAAAGGTCAAGGTCACACTTAGATCTCTTTGAAAAACTCTTGTCGGGAGCAAAACTTCTACATGCATCAAGGGATTTTAATATGACTTGGCACAGATGTTCATCATTGTGAGGCTGTGTGTCGTGCATAAAATTCAGTCACTGCGACCAAGGTCAAGGTCACACATAGAGGTAAAGTTCCAGATAAAAATACAAAAATATGTATAGGGACAATTTTTTAGGAATGTTCACCACTATGAACTGATTGCTCCATGCAAGATCAAGATCAAAGGTCACACTCAGAGCTAATTGCCATGGATCTCCATAATGCCCACATCTCCATCAAAAACTCTTGTGACGGGCGTATCTTGCAACAATGTTGCCCTTGTTAATGATTCTTTTTACTAGAACGTCACATGAATTTGGGTCTGTTTCTGTATCAGCTGCTTTTGGTGAAACATCAATGCTATTCTCATGTATATGTTGATTGTTATTATACCCCTATAAACGAAGTTTTGGAGGGGTATATAGGAGTCAGCTTGTTGGTCGATCGGTCGGTCGGTCGGTCGTTCTACATCATGGTTTCAGGCCAAAAACTAGAGTTTGGAATGAAGTTTTGTAATCAAACTTGGTATATAGCAACCTTATATGGAAAAACAGGTTGGTATTGCATTTGGACACCCAAGGGTCAAGGTTAAGGTCACTGTTACTAAAAATAGAAAAATGATTTCCAGTCAATAACTAGAATTATAATTTTTTTTATTTTTTTTTGTATTGGGTTTTACGCCGATTTTAACATCTGTTTTGGTCATATCTTGGCGGTCAGTCCACCTAACCGGCTTTCCCGGATATCTAACCAGTACTAACCAACTTCTCCGCTAGTGACTGACTACATATCCCACATGATCTTATCTAGATCAGAGGTGAGAGACAAATGGCCATTAGACACAATGTCCATGATCAATTGTCACGGAGAAATTTGCACCAAGCCCAGGGATTGAACCAGCAACCTAACATTGTATATAGCAAGCTTATATAAAGACCTAGGTTGGTGTTGCATTTGGACCCTGTGGGGTTATTGTCAAGGTCACCGTTATTAAAAATGGTTTCCCGCCAAAAACTAGACTTAGGAATGAGATATTGTAATCAAACTTGGTATATAACAAGCTTATATGTAGAACTGGGTTGGTATTGCATTTGGACCCCCCTAGGGTCAAGGTCAAGGTCAGTGTTACTGAAAATAGAAAAATGGTTTCCAGACAATAACTAGAGTTAGGAATGAGATATTGTAATTGCATATGACAATTTACAGAAATCAAAATGTTTGATATTTAGTGCAAATGTAATACTGATTGTGTGTGAATTTCAACATTCAAAAGTCTGTCATGTTCAAAAGGTAGCTGTGTCGTACAAACTAAAACTTAATGAATGTAGATTTCAGCAGTTTTTAGCATGAATTCTAAGCACAGGAGGTGAACTTTTGACATAAATAATAGACCAGTAAAACAATTCAAGACACTGATGAAGTTGTATTTAGCTGAAAGGAACCTACTTAATTTCAGTTTGTATTAAGAATTTTAGAAATTAAGGTCAACAAACTTTAAGCTGAATTCAGTTTTCTTTATATTAAACTAAATGATCGTATAACATCTGTTATGTGGCCTTTGTCTTTGTATTTGTGATATGAATAATAAATCAACTTCATTGCTAACTCTAATTGAAAGGAATTGGCCATTAAGGTTGGGTATATCAAATTCTTATAAGTCCTTATTGACTATAAGGTGCCAGGTAGGGGTATAAATCATCTTTACCAGTTGAAATGCAAAACAATTTCATACAATGGTCAAACACAATAAGTAACTCTATCTATAGTTAGTATAGAGTTATTGCCCTTGCAACTACATATAATGGTTAAGCGCAATGAGAGGAAGTGCAGTGTACAATAGCCATAACTCTATCTTCAGTATTTGCAGAGTTATTGTCCTTTATTCCATTTCGACAGCATACTGTAAAACATACTTATTAATTATACATTGAGTACAAATTTTTCTTCAGACCTCTTGTTTTAAAAGTCCAAGTTGTTAATCACCTTTAGTGATAGCTCTAGTTTATAAAGGAACTTAACAAAATGACTCCTTCCTGTTGTGTGTTTGGTACTTCCTATAAACCATGAAATATTAGATTGTCCTTCATATTTCTTATGGAAGGGAATATTTGCCAGTGTATGCATACTGCTGTGTGACAATTGCATATTGCTATTATAATTTGCATTTCACCCTGCCATTGACTTTATTCCCTCTGCTTTTGGCAAATATTATTAAGCTTTAACAACTTGATGAATGTCAATTATACATTTTAAGTGTAAAAGGAAAAAACTTTTTTGGTTGTTAGTACATTGTGTATAACCTCGAAATGTTGATGCTTAAAAGTTTTTACTACTTTTGACACGGTTCTTTGTGATTATATATTGTTAAATACCCACAAAAACCTTTTAAATTCCTATTATTTGCTTTCGTTAAAATAGGTGGTGGTATATTTCTTTGTATTTGTCTGTCCATTGGTCCTTTAAATCATCAGTCCATAGACCAAATGGTTTCTGATCAATATCGAAAGAACACCTAAGCCTAGACCTTCAAACTTGGTATTGGGATTGGTAATTACCAGTAAATGACTCCTATTGCTTTTGGGGTCACTTGGTCAAAGGTCAATGTCAAATTGACCTTGTGTGTCAAAACACTTTCCAACCAATAGCTAAACAACACATGTGTCTTTGACCTCCAAACTTCACAAGTGCATTGGTCTTGGTAAGTAGATGACCCCTTATGATTTTTGGGGGCATGGAGTCTAAGGTCTGGGTCATATTGATCTTGTATGTAAAAATAGTTTCAAAAAAATTACTCTACAACCCATGGACCCTTGGCCCTCAAAATTCATAGGTACATTGGTTTTGGCAAGTAGATGACCGCTAGTGTTTTTTGGTCACTAGGTCAAAGGTCAGTTTACATTGACCTTGAATGTCAAAACTGTTTCAGACCAATAACTAAACAACACATGGGCCTTTGACATCCAAACTTCACAGGTGCATTGGTCTCAGTAAGTATATGATCCCCAATATTTGACTTATAATCATAAGATCAACCAAACAGTGGAGTGTGGGGGCACCCATGTCCGATGGACACATTTCTAGTTATATAAAAAATTAACAAAATAAAAAGTTTCTTCATTTTTTTCAGAGATAATCAAACTTGTTTTCACACTGTAGAATGCATCAGCAAAGTTGGAAATTCAGATGGCAAGCAAAATTTTGTTTTTATAATTGCATACTATTCAAAATAAGGAATACTATTGTTTATGTATTTATCAGGATGAATTAAATTTTATATAAAAAATCAAATTAATTTACATTAGTCTGAGAATTAGGCTTAAACCTTTTGATTTTTAAACTGTTGGAATTCTTTTGTTGACTATTTTATCTCTATGTTAATCAATATATCTCTGTTTGATTATCCTTCTTTTTTCTACAGAAAAATTGGATGGCATCCCAATAGAAACAACAAATGAATATCAAACAGACATTTTAAGAATTGAACAAGAGGAGAACTCAAAGAGGTGAAAAATTTAGTGATATGGTTTAGCACAATAATTCTTACCTTCCCATACAGATGGAATCAGCAGGGGGGTCATGGGTTGATGTTGAAGGTCTGCTCACACTGATGTTAGTTCTTAGTTATATATTTTGTACCTGAAGTACATTTAAATATGTGTTTTTTGTTTATGGGCAATATTTTCAAAACAAAAAAGTAATTTGATTAGAATCTGGCAGCTAAAATGTCAGTACTGGCATAGAATTAAAGAATACTAGCAAGGTCATTGCCCTCTGGTATAAAACTGAATCACTGCTAACAACTAGGGCTAAAATCATTTTCCTGAAATTTTGATATAATTTACTTCTGGAAAACTAGTCAAGTAAATATGTTATATATTTAAGAATAAAATTTGGCACTCAAAGAATCTATGAAGTAAGAGTTGGAGTCCTATAACATCCATGAATATTTTGACTTTTATATTAAATAAACACACTTGAAGTTTCTTAATTACTTTCAGAGAAAATCAAAATTATTTTCAAGCCACACAATGGATGCATACATTAAGCAGTGAAGTTGGCAATTTAGAAGGCAAGTAAACTTTGGTCTTCATAATAACACATAAGAAAAAAAGGAAATACAATGTTAATAAATATCATTAGGATATGTTTCATAGTAAAATCAAATTAATTTATATTAGTCTAAGAATTTAGCTTAAACCTTTTGATTTTTAAACTGTTTGACTTCTTTTAATGACTATTTAATATCTATGTTGATTTATTTAACTCTTTTTGGTGATCTTTTTTATTTCAACAGAAAACATGGATGGCATCCAAATGAAAACAACAAATGAATGTCAAACAGACATTTTAAGAACTGAACAAGAGGAGAACTCCAAGAGGTGAAAATATTTAATGATATGTTTTAGCACAATAATTTTTATCTTCCCCTACAGATGGAATCAGCCGGGGAGGGGGAAGGGTATTGGGTTGGTGTTGAAGGTCTGCTCACACTGTAATATATTTCATACCTGAGGTACATTGAATAATATGTTTTTAACATGCTTTGTTTAGCAATATCTTCAACACGAAAAGAGAAATAATTGGGGTAAAGTTTTATGTCTTTCTGCTTTTTTCAGTCATTCATCTTTTCCAACAATTTCCTTGTTTGTTTAGGCTGCATTATGGTTATGTAATATTATTTAGTTAATAAAATTATTTGATGGGAATCTGGCAGCTAACATGTCAGTTCTGGCATAGAATTAGAGAATACTAGCAAGGTCATTGCCCTACGGTATATAAATGCAGTGTTTACGAAAACGTTTTGGGCTATGCTGGACATTTTGTCTGACGTATTTCTATAGTACGCTGGACATTTTTCAGCCAAGCAGGACATTCTTTTAAAATAAGTTATTTTTAAATACTCAATAGAAGGGATTAGTCTATTTGATATAAAATAGTTCTTATTACATACTTTTTATGAGCTTTCAGCTTGAAAAACAAAGAGGAATATCTATATTTTTAAATAAAAGGCAATAATTCCTCAATAGCAAATACCCTAGACAGAACATGTCATTATTTTTTGACATCAGAAAACAACAAGTTACCAGACCAGCACATTGTAAATTGTTAACATGAACATTCACTTTCAGAATGCTTAGTATAATAGAAAAGCAATTACAGGTTTCAAAGGGCTGGTATTATTTTACAGTACAGCAGTTTCTCAACATTTTTAAATTGCTTAAGAATTATTCAGTTCAAGTTTTAAGTGATACTTATGAGATGTAAACAGAACATATCTTTCTTTTTTTTTATAAGTACATTTTTAAAAAAAATCGGCGTTGCAAAAATATGTGACAATTGAATTTTTTTCTGTTTTCTACAAAAAATATTTACAATAATGGTTATTATACATGATATTATCTAAAAGTAGCGACTTTTCATATATTTAAACACTGGTTTTCATTAGCCACTGCATCAACCAGCCTAAAAAAAAAGAAAATTAAAAATTGATTTTCACGGCACAGTTTACTGGTCAGCCTGCATCAATGATCAGTCTACTTAACAATAATGTCATTGGCTAATTACCTAGTGGTAATATATGACAATAGCAATGCAAGAGTACACCTTTAAATTACAAATACAAGTTTTATTTGTCACATACATTTTTAACACTTTTGAGGATGATAAATTGACACAATAGAAAACACAGCTGGGTGTAAATTAGCGGCTTACAAATTTATCGATTTACACATACTAGATGAAGGCTTGTTGATATTTTAACATAATTGAAAGCTTCTGTATCAAAAAATTACACCAGACAAATATGTCTGCCTTTGTTTCAAAATACGACGGACATTTTGAAAATGTACCGGCAATGTCAGACTTGTCCAACGTATTTCGTAAACACTGTAAATGAATCACTGCTATCAACAAGGGCTAAAATCATTTTCTTGAATATGTTATTATAACTTACTCCTGGAAAAGTAGTAAAGTAAATATGTTATATATTTACTAACAAAATTTTGCACTTGAAAAATCTATGAAGTAAGAGTGGGAATCCTATAACAGTCAAGAATATTTTGACTTTCATATTGAATAAACAAACAAAGTTTCTTTATTACTTTCAGAGAAAATCAAACTTATTTTCAAGCCACAAAATGGACAAAAATAATTAGCTGCGAAGTTCGAAATTCAGAAGGCAAGCAAAATTTATTCTTCATAAGGCTATATTTTAGTAAATCAAATTAATTGTGTTTGTCTAAGAATTTAGCTTAAACCTTTTGATTTCTTAACTGTTTGACTTCTTTCGTTCATTATTTAATCTCTATGTTCATAGAAATAACTCTTTTTGATTTTCTCTCTCACTTCTACAGAAAAAATTAATGACATCCAAACAAACACTACAAATGAATGTCAAACAGACACTTTAAGAACTGAACAAGAGGAGAACTCCAAGAGGTGAACAAATTTAATGATATGTTTTAGCACAAAAATTCTAATCGTACTTGACAGATGGAATCAGCAGGGGGGTCATGGGATGATGTTGAAGGTCTGCTCATACTGATGTTAGTTCTTAGTTATAAATTTCATACCTGAAGTACATTTAAATATGTGTTTTTAACATGCTTTATTTGTTCGCAATAACTTCAAAACAAAACAAAAACAAAACAAAAAAAAAATGGGGTAAAAGTTTATGTCAGTCTGCTTGTTTTGCCCCCAAAGGAAGGCATATTGTAATGGCACTGTCAATTGTAATCCTTCCATCCATCTGCCCCTGTGTACTGTAATTTTGTCTGAGCTTTATCTCCTAAACCACTAGAGGGATTTCAGTGAAACTTCACAGGATTGTTTTTCACTATGCCTAGTTGTGCATATTATCTTGATGTTTTGCTAGAACTATTTTTTTTGCAAAATAATGGCCCCTTAATGGTCAATTTCCAAGTAAAATAAGATTGTCTCTTGCTAGAATTTTTTTATGCTCCCCGAAAAATTTTTCGGGGGGGTATATAGTCGCCGGGTTGTCCGTCCGTCCGTACGTACGTACGTCCCGACTTCGTGTCCGGCTCATAACTTCGTTTCTTGAAGTCGGATTTTAAAAATATTTCACAGAAATGATCACCATATTGAGACGACGTGTCGCGCACAACATTTTGGTCGCTACCTTGAAGGTCAAGGTCACAGCATGACCTTGCAGCAAAATCATGTCCGGCCCATAACTTTGTTATTTGAAGTCGGATTTTAAAAATATTTCACAGAAATGATCACCATATTGAGTCGACGTGTCGCGCACAACATTTGGGTCGCTACCTTGAAGGTCAAGGTCATAGCATGACCTTGCAGCATAATCATGTCCGGCCCATAACTTTGTTATTTGAAGTCAGATTTAACAACTATTTCACTGAAATGATCACCATATTGAGTTGACGTGTCCCGCACAACATTTGGGTCACTACCTTGAAGGTCAAGGTCACAGCATGACCTTGCAGCAAAATCGTGTCCGGCCCATAACTTTGTTATTTGAAGTTAGATTTTATAACTATTTCACAGAAATGATCAACATATTGAGAAGAAGTGTCACAAGCAACATTTGGGTGGCTACCTTCAAGGTCAAGGTCACAGCATGACCTTGCAACAAAATCATGTCCAGCCCATAACTTCGTTATTTGAAGTCAGATTTAACAACTATTTCACTGAAATGATCACCATATTGAGTTGACGTGTCCCGCACAACATTTGGGTCACTACCTTGAAGGTCAAGGTCACAGCATGACCTTGCAGCAAAATCGTGTCCGGCCCATAACTTTGTTATTTGAAGTTAGATTTTATAACTATTTCACAGAAATGATCACCATATTGAGACAATGTGTCGGGTGGTACATTTGGGTCGCTACCTTGAAGGTCAAGGTCGCAGTATGACCTTGCAGCAAAATCGTGTCTGGTCCATAACTTTGTTATTTGAAGTCGGATTTTATAACTATTTCACAGAAATGATCACCATATTGAGATGATGTGTTGTGCACAAATTTGGGTAGCTAGCTTGAAGGTCAAGGTCACAGCATGACCTTGCAGCAAAATAGTGTCCGGCCAATAACTTTTTTTTATTTGAAGTCGGATTTTACAACTATTTCACAGAAATAATCACCATATTGAGACAATGTGTCACGTGCAACATTTGGGTCACTACCATTCTCAAAATTCACCTCAATAATTATACAACTAACCTTTTTTGTGAAAAAGTACCCATTCGGGGAGCATCACCCATCTTTGATGGTCTCTTGTTTGGCCAAGTTATAGCCCCTGAAAGGTCAATTTTCAAGTAAAATAAGCTTGTCCGAGCTTCATCTCCTAAACCGCTGAGGGGATTTCAGTGAATCTTCACAGGATTGTTTGTTACCATGCTTAGTTGTGCATATTGGCTTGATTTTTTGCTGGATTTTTTTTTTGTCAAAGTTATGGCCCCTGAAAGGTCAATTTTCAAGTAAAATAAGCTTGTCCAAGCTTCATCTCCTAAAGCTCTGAGTAGATTTCAGTGAAACTTCACAGGATTGTTTGTAACCAGTCTAGTTGTGCATATTATTTTGATTTTGGGTCTTATTTATTTGGCAGTTATGGCTCCTTAATAGACAATTTTCAAGTAAAATAAGCTTGTCCAAGCTTCATCTTCAAAACCACTAGGGGAATTTCAGTGAAACTTCACAGGATTGTTTGTCACCATGCCTACTTTAAAATATCATCTTGAATTTTTGCTAGAATTTTTTTTTGCACTATTATAGCCCCTTAGTGGTCAATTTTCAAGTAAAATAAGATTGTCAGAGCTTCATCTCCTAAACTGCTGGAGGGCTTTCAGTGAATCTTCACAGGATTGTATGTCACCGTGCCTAGTTGTGCATTTTATCTTGGATTTTAGCTAGAATTTTTCTTTTCAAAGTAATTGCCTGTTTATGGTCTTTTTTGAGAAAAATGAGCTTGTCCACGCTGCATCTCCAGAACTGCTTGGGGGATTTCAGTGAAACTTCCCAGGATTGCATGTCAGCATACTTTGTTATGCATTGTGTTTTGATTTTCAGCTTGATTTTTTTTTTTGCACAATGATAGCCCTTTAATGGCCAATTTTCGGGTAAAATAAGCTTGTCCACCCGTCATCACCAAAGCTAACTGGAATTTCAGTGAAACTTCACAGGACTGTTAGTCACTATGCCCAGTTGTACATACTCTCTCGATATTGTGCTTTTTTTTGACACAGTTTTAGCACCTTCAGAGTATATTTTTCAAGTAAAAGAAGCTTGTCCATAAAACATCTGCAAAACCACTCGGAAAATGTCAGTGAAACTTCACAGGTCTGTTTGTTACCATGTCTGGTTGTATATATTATCTTGATTTTTTGCCATTCATGTGAAAATCTCAAAGATTAAATTTTTATAGTTTTCTTGTGTTAAAGCTCATATCCATTTACATATCTAAGGTGATTTTATGTCTTACGTTGGGGGGCATAGGTCACTTTTCAGTGACAGCTCTTGTTTCAATCACTCATTTTTTCCAACAATTTATTTTGTTTGCTTATACTGCATTATGATTATGTTGTAAAATGAAGTAAAAAGTTATTTGATGAGAATCTGGCAGCTAAAATGTCAGTTCAGGCATAGAATTAAGGAATACTAGCAAGGTTATTAACCTCTGGTATATAATTGAATCACTGCCTTCAACTAGAGCTAAAATCATTTTCCTGAAAACTTTATTATAATTTACTTCTTGAAAACTAGTCAAGTAAATATGTTATATATTTAGGAATAAAATTTTGCACTTTTAGCATCTATGAAGTAAGAGTTGGAGTCCAAATTTGAAGTTTCTTAATTACTTTCAGAGAAAATCAAAATTATTTTCAAGCCACACAATGGATGCAAACATTAAGCAGGGAAGTTGGCAATTCAGAAGGCAAGTAAACTTTGGGTTTCATAATAACACATAAGAAAAAAAGGAAATACAATGTTAATAAATATCATTAGGATATGTTTCATAGTAAAATCAAATTAATTTATATTAGTCTAAGAATTAAGGTATTACACCCCTAATGCTCTACCTCTGCTTTGAAGAGTATTCAAATAGGCTAGAATTACTGTCAACTGCATTGAAACTGAAGGGCGTTGGTTCAAACCCCAGAAGGGGCAAGTTTTTTATTTCTTATTTTTTCTTTTTAACATTATTTATGTATATCTCAGATCCCTTATGGAAAGAAAAAAGTGTTTTAATTTAATCATTTAATTATTGTAGGTATTTATTGGCTAAATAATGCCAAATTAAATAGCAAATGTGGTACCAGATATTTACAAAGCCTAATAAAATAAAAACTACACGGTAAAAGTATAGTCAAATGTGGGGTAGGGTAACATATTTTTACATATTAAAAACATTTTGCTCGTGTGTTGTTACCTGGATGCTATTATTTGTTTCTTAACAATTATTGATAGGAAAACATTTTTCATAATGATGATATCATAGGTAATTCAGAGTTTCCTCATTTCTTAAAAAGAGCCCTTTGATCTCAATGAAATACAGGTAAAGTTCAAAGATGGGTCATCTCGGGTTAAAAACTAGGTCACAGGAGCTAAAAATAGAAAAAGCTTGTTAACACTCAAGTGGCTGCAGTTTTGATCCAAATATTCTGGAAACTTGTCAGGAAGGTTGTTTTGATGATTTCTAGGTCAAGATTGGAGATGGGTCATCTCCAGTCAAAAACAAAGTCACAGGAGCTAAAAATAGAACAAGCTTGTTAACACTCTAGTGGCTGCAGTTTTGATCCAAATATTCTTGAAATTTGTTAGAAAGGTTGTTTTGATGGCTTCTAGGTCAAGTTTGAAGATGGGTCATATCTGGTCAAAAACTAGGTCACAGGAGCTAAAATTAGAAAAAGCTTGTTAACACTCTAGTGATTGCAGTTTTGATCCAAATATTCTTGAAATTTGTCAAGAAGGTTGTTTTGATGATTTTTAGGTCAAGTTTGAAGATGGGTTATCTCCGGTCTAAAACTAAGTCACAGGAGCTAAAAATAGAAAAATCTTGTTAACACTCTAGTGGCTGCAGTTTTGATCCAAATATTCTGGAAATTTGTCAGGAAGGTTGTTGTGATGATTTTTAGTACAATTTGAAGATTGGTCATGTCCGGTCAAAAACTAGGTCACAGGAGCTAAAAATAGAAAAAGCTTGTTTACACTCAAGTGGCTGCAGTTTTGATCCAGATATTCTGGAAATTTGACAGGAAATTTGTGTTGATGATTTCTAGGTCAAGTGCAAAGATGGGTTTTGACTGGTCAAAAACTAGGTCACAGGAGCAAAAAATAGAAAAATCTTGTTAACTTTCTAGTTGCTGCAGTTTTGATCCAAACATTCTTGAAATTTGTCAAGAAGGTTGTTTTGATGATTTCTAGGTCAAATATGAAGATGGGTCATCTCCAGTCAAAAACTAGGTCACAGGAGCTAAAAATAGAACAAGCTTGTTAACACTCTAGTGGCTGCTGTTTTGATCTAAATATTCTGGAAATTTGTCAGGAAATTTGTGTTGATGATTTCTAAATCAAGTTAAAAGATGGGTCTTGTCCAGTCAAAAACTAGGTCACAGGAGCTAAAAATAGAAAAATCTTGTTAACATTCTAGTGGCTGCAGTTTTGATCCAAATGTTCTGGAAATTTGTCAGAAAGGTTGTTTTGATGTTTCCTAGGTCAAGTTTGAAGATGGGTCATGTCCGGTCATAAACTAGGTCACAGGAGCTAAAAATAGAAAAGGCTTGTTAACACTCTAATGGCTGCAGTTTTGATCCAAATTTCTTTGAAATCAGTGAGAAATGTTGTTTTGATGATTTTTAGGTGAAGTTTGAATATAGGTCATCTACGGTCAAAAACTAGGTCACAGAAGCTTAAAATAGAAAAATCTTGTTAACACTCTAGTGGCTGCAGTTTTGATCCAAATATTCTGGAAATTTGTCAGGAAGGTTGTTTTGATGATTTCTAGGTGAAGTTTGAATATAGGTCATGTCCAGTCAGAAACAAGGTCACAGGAGCCAAAAATATAAAAAGCTTGTTAACACTCTAGTGGCTGCAGTTTTGATCCAAATATTCTGGAAATTTGTCAGGAAGGTTGTTGTGATGATTTCTAGGGTCCATTTGAAGATTGGTCATGTCCGGTCAAAAACTAGGTCGCAGGAGCTAAAAATAGAGAAAGCTTGTTAACACTCTAGTGGCTGCAGTTCTGATCCAATTTTCCTGAAAATTGGTCAGGAAGGTTGTTTAATGATTTCTAGGTCAAGTTTGAATATGGGTTGTCTCCGATCAAAAACTAGGTCACATTGCCCAAATACGAAAAAACCTTTTTAACACACTAGAGGTCACATTTTTGACTCAATTGTCATCAAACTTGGCCAGGCTTTTTGTCTAAGACATTGCTTGGATGTGGTTGATGGGTCAGGGGAGCGATCCAGGGCCATCATGGCCCTCTTGATAAACTGTTTGACTTGTATTGATGACTATTTAATATCTATAATGATAAATATAACTCTTTTTGATGATCTTTCTTATTTCTACAGAAAAATTGGATATCATTCAAATGAAATCAACAAGTGAATGTCACACAGACATTTTAAGAACTGAACAAGAGGAGAACTCAAAGGGGTGAAAAAATTTAATGATATGTTTGAGCACAATAATTTTTATCCCCCCCCCCCCCCTACAGATGGAATCAGCAGGAGGGTATTAGTTTGGTTTGGAGGTTTTTTCACACTTTTATTAATTTAATACCTGAAGTACATTCATTTTGATAATGTGTCTTTTAATTCATTTGTAATGTTAGCAATATCTTCAGAACAAAAAGCAAAAAAAAATGGGGTTAAATTTTTTGTCAGTCTGCTTTTTTCAGTCATTCATCTTTTCAAACAATTACCTTGTTTGTCTATGCTACATTATGATTATGTTGTATAATTGAGTAAAAAAGTTTTTTGATGAGAATCTGGCAGCTAAAATGTAAGTACTGGCATAGAATTAAAGAATACTAGCAATGTTATTAACCTCTGTTTTAAAATTAAATCACTGCTTACACCTAAAGCTAAATTAATTTATTGAAAATTTTATCATAATTTACTTCTGGAAAAACTAGTCAAGTAAATATGTTATATATATATCAGAATAAAATTTTGCACGTTAAGAATCTATGAAGTAAGAGTTGGCATGAATATTTTGACTTTTATATTAAATAAACAAAAAAGAATCTATGAAGTAAGAGTTGGAGTCCAATAACAGCCATGAATATTTGGACTTTTATATTAAATAAACAAACTTAAAGTTTCTTAATTACTTTCAGAGAAAATCAAAATTATTTTCAAGCCACACAATGGATGCAAACATTAAGCAGTGAAGTTGGCAATTCAGAAGGCAAGTAAACTTTGGTCTTCATTAAAAAAACACATAAGAAAAAAAGGAAATACAGTGTTAATAAATATCATCAGGATATGTTTCATAGTAAAATCAAATTAATTTATATTAGTCTAAGAATTTAGCTTAAACCTTTGATTTTTAAACTGTTTGACTTCTTTTAATGAGTATTTAATATCTATGTTGATAAATTTAACTCTTTTTGGTGATCTTTTTTTTTCAACAGAAAAAATGGATGGCATCAAAATGGCAACAACAAATGAATGTCAAACAGACATTTTAAGAACTGAACAAGAGGAGAACTCCAAGAGGTGAAAATATTTAATGATATGTTTTAGCACAATAATTTTTATCTTCCCCTACAGATGGAATCAGCCGGCGAGGGGGGAAGGTATTGGGTTGGTGTTGAAGGTCTATTCACAATGTTATAAATTTCATACCTGAAGTACATTTGATAATGTGTCTTATAATTCATTTGTTATATTAGCAGTATCTTCAGAACTAAAAAGAAAAAAATTGGGGTAAAATTTTATGCCAGTCTGCTTTTTTCAGTCATTCATCTTTTCAAACAATTACCTTGTTTGTTTATGCTGCATTATGATTATGTTGTATAATTGAGTAAAAAAGTTTTTTGATGAGAATCTGGCAGCTAAAATGTAAGTACTGGCATAGAATTAAAGAATACTAGCAATGTTATTAACCTCTGTTTTAAAATTAAATCACTGCTTACACCTAAAGCTTAATTAATTTTACTGAAAATTTTATCATAATTTACTTCTGGAAAAACTAGTCAAGTAAATATGTTTTATATATATATATATATATATATCAGAATAAAATTTTGCACTTAAAGAATTTATGAAGTAAGAGTTGGAGTCCTATTACAGCCATGTATATTTTGACTTTTGTATTAAATAAACAAACTAGAAGTTTCTTAATTACTTTCAGAGAAAATCAAAATTATTTTCAAGCCAAACAATGGATGCAAACATTAAGCAGCGGAGTTGGCAATTCAGAAGGCAAGTAAACTTTGGTCTTCATAATAACAACTAAGAAAAAAAGGAAATAAAATGATAATAAATATCATTAGGATATGTTTCATAGTAAAATCAAATTAATTTATATTAATCTAAGAATTTAGCTTAAACCTTTTGATTTTTAAACTGTTTGACTTCTTTTAATGACTATTTAATATCTATGTTGATAAATTTAACTCTTTTTGATGATCATTCTCATTTTTTTAGAAAAAATGGATGACATCCAAATGAAAACAACATCTGAATGTCACACAGACATTTTAAGAATTGAACAAGAGGAGAACTCCAAGAGGTGAAAATATTTAATGATATGTTTTAGCACAATAATTTTTATCTTCCCCTTCAGATGGAATCAGCCGGGGAGGGGGGAAGGTATTGGGTTGGTGTTGAAGGTCTATACACAATGTTATCAATTACATACCTGAAGTTCATTTGATAATGTGTCTTTATATTCATTTGTTATATTAGCAGTATCTTCAGAACTAAAATGAAAAAAATTGGGGTAAAATTTATGCCAGCTGTTTTTTCAGTCATTCATCTTTTCAAACAATTACTTTGTTTGTTCATGCTGCATTATGGTTTTGTTGTATTATTTTATAAAAGAAATTATTTGATGAGAATCTGGCAGCTTAAGTGTCAGTACTGGCATAGCATTAAAGAGTAATAGCAAGGTTATTAATCTTTGGTATATAATTGAATCACTGCTAGCAATTAGAGCTAAAATCATTTTCCTGAAAATTTTATCATGATTTACTCTTGGTAAACAAGTCAGGTGAATATGTTATATATTTAATAACAAAATTTTGCACTAAAAGAATAAGTAAGAGTTGGAGTCCTCTAACAGCCATGAGTATTTTGACTTTTGTATTAAATAAACAAACTTAAAGTTTCTTAATTACTTTCAGAGAAAATCAAAATTATTTTCAAGCCACACAATGGATGCAAACATTTAACAGTGAAGTTGGCAATTCAGAAGGCAAGCAAACTTTGGTCTTCATAATAACACATCATGAGAAAATAGAAATACAATGTACATAAATATCATTAGAATATGTTTCATAGTAAAATCAAATTAATTTATATTAGTCTAAGAATTTAACTTAAACCTTCTGATTTTTAAACTGTTTGACTTCTTTTAATGACTATTTAATATCTATGATGATAAATTTAACTCTTTTTGATGATCATTCTCATTTTTTCAGAAAAAATGGATGACATCCAAATGAAAACAACATCTGAATGTCACACAGACATTTTAAATTCTGGACAAGAGGAGAAATCAAAGAGGTGAACAAATTTTAATGACATGTATTAGCACAATAATTCTTATCTTCCCCTACAGATGGATCACAGATTATCCTGTGCTGATGGAATTGGAAGTTTGATATTGTTTTGTAGTTGTTCCACTTTCTAATACAGTAGAACTTCTACGTGTTGAATATTGATTAGTTGATTTTCATGGTGTGTAGAAATAAACAGGAAGTCCCGATTTTTTCTCCTAAACGTCCTTTGTTAAAACCTATATATTAGTTGAATTTTGTGTATCAAAGTTTTCAATGTCTTTGAGTCGTTTTGTTGCCCCCAGAGAAAAGTTCGAGTACATTTTACTTAAAATAAGTTTAAGTTTTTTTTTAATTTTTCTTTACACCTAAGATCTTTCTCCCTGGCTTGTCAGCTTGCCACCTGACATTCACAATACTATAACTCAGGTTTGCACCAGTCCAAGTGACCAAAAATCAGGTTCTAACCCTGTTGAAATGCTTGTGTGGTCTGTTATGGTTTATGATATGTTTCATGCATGATAGGTTAAATGGTTTTGTTTTTTTTGACCCTGGAAAAGAAATTTGCTCAGTGGTAAGTTAAATAACACTTCGTTATACAAAAAGGATATTGAGCATTTAGTTACTATTATTATCTTTACTTTTTCTTATACTTTTCTGCAATACGTACGAAAACTTTTCAGGGGCATTTTTCATTTTTGCGTGACAGCTCTTGTTTGTCTTTAACTTCGGCACAGTACATGTGTCGAAGTCTTGATGTGTTGAAGTATTTATAACAGTCCCTTGAACTTTTACTTACCCAAGTTCTACTGTACTTCAATTCTTTTGTGACTAGTGCACGCCTACTAAACAGTGGCTCTTTCACATTTTGGTGATCGAAAGTGCATCCAAAATGATGAGAAAAATGTTCTACGTGGCATGACATTTTTCGATTTTTGAAAAACAAGCATGATCTTTTTAAATTTATATTTTTACTAAAATTTATTTCCCTTTTCAGTCGTGTTTTCACTGAGGGCTCAGCAAACGAAGTTACACAGACGGTCGGTCCCCAATCAGTCATTTAATCTTAAATTTACTGGCTGTTATGATCGGTTGTCATGCTTGATTTTATTTCTGGTTTTCTATGTAAACGGCCATCAGTGACAGAAAGCAAACTCAAACGGGGTTGGATCGGTGATAAAAATGCTGAAATACTGTCGGTTTTTATCGTTTGTAAATCGGAGCTAAATCGGGCGTAACGCTGATTAATCAGTGTTTGATAGCTAGTCATCAGTGGTTAAACACTTTCCGTGTTATTGGTGATTAAGAGCTTGCATAGCTCGTGATATAGGTTGCTGTCAGTTATTTGTAAAATATTTTCATCGATCGAGAATTTTAAACATGTTTAAAAATCCCAATTGGTAATTTTTCACCGATAAAACTTATCTTTCCCCAATAGCAGTTGATAGGTGGAAAACATGTGACCTATAGATGATATCGGTGTTAAATACGTTGTCATCGGTTCACATCATAATTTGGCTAAAAAAACTACCGATGAATCACCGATGGCTCTGTGTAACTGGGTTGTTAAACAGATCACCAAAATGTGAAAGAGCAACTGTTTAGTTGGCGTGTAGTGAAACAATATGTAACTGTACTTTTTCTTTTATTAGCATGGACTTAAGTTCGCGCATTTTCCCTAGCACAAAATACCGGACCATTCGCCCTACTGATTCCACAGTAGTCGGTTTAATAAAATATTCAAATTGAAACAGATAAACAGTTTGTTATATTGCTAAGCTTTTGTTTTGTTAATTATTTTGCAAATATAGGAAAAAAGATAGATACATATTTGCTGTGTAACATTTGTCATTAACGATTTTGAAATAAAATTACTAGACAACTACCCTTTATTGGATCATTGAAATTATTAATTGAGGGTCATATTTGTATTATAGAGAGATGAGACAGGAAAAAGCTGTGTTTGAATCAGTAGAAACAACAAATGGAAAAGAAAATTTGGGACATAATCTGAGAGTTTCCAATATAAGTAAGCTTTAATTATCCCTCGCCAAAAAGGCAGCCGGGGATATAGAAATAGTCTCCGTTCTTCTGTCCCTCTGTCCCTCCATGCAAACACAGGGGTACTTGTGGGACTAGGAGAACAATAGGTAACAGTACATTTTCTTTGATCCAATTCATTCTGTTTTTACTTGTGTGTCTTATTATCTCACCTGACCATGAAGTGGTCAAGGTGAGGTATAGTGATGGGGCTATGTCCGTCATTTGTCGCCTTGCGTAGTTCTTCGTCAACAATTGGGTTGTTAACACTCTAGCAGTCACAGTTTTGATTTGATCATCATCAAACTTTGTCAGAATGTTTGTCTCAATAAAATACAGGTCAAGATCAAAGATGGGTCATCTTGGGTCAAAAACTAGGTCACAGGAGCTAAAAATAGAAAAAGCTTGACACTCTAGCAGTCACAGTTTTCATTGGATCATCATCAAACTTTCTCAAAATGTTTGTCTCAATAAAATACAGGTCAAGTTTGAAGAAGGATCATCTCAGTTCAAAAACTAGGTCACAGGAGCTAAAAATAGAAAAAGTTTAACACTAGTGGCTGCAGTTTTGATCCAAATATTCTGGAAATTTGTCAGGAAGGTTGTTTTGATGATTTCTAGCTCAAGTTTGAAGATGGGTCATCTCAGGTCAAAAACTAGGTCACAGGGGCTAAAAATAGGAAAGCTTATTAACAGTCTAGTGGCAGCAGTTTTGATCCAAATATTCAGGAAAATTGTCAGGAAGGTTGGTTTGATGATTCGTAGGTAAAGTTCGCATATGGGTCATCTTCAGTCAAAAACTAGGTCACAGGAGCTAGAAATAGAAAAATCTTGTTAACACTCTAGTGGCTGCAGTTTTGATCCAAATATTCTGGAAATTTGTCAGGAAGGTTGTTATATGATTTCTAGGTTTGAATATGGGTCATCTCCGATAAAATAGAAGGTCACAGTAGCTAAAAATAGAAAAATCTTGTAAACAGTCAAGTGGCTGCAGTTTTGATCCAAATATAGATCATCTCCAGTCAAAAACTAGGTCACAGGAGCTAAAAATAGAAAAATCTTGCTAACACTATAGTGGCAGCAGTTTTGATGGAAATATTCTGGAAATTTGTCAGGAAGGATGTGTTTGATGATTTCTAGTTCAAGTTCATAGATGGGTCATCTTGGATCAAAAACTAGGTCACAGTAGCTAAAAATAGAAAAAGCTTGTTAACACTCTAGTGGCTGCAGTTTTGATCCAAATATCCTGAATAGTGGTCAGGAAGGTTGATTTGATGATTTGTAGTTCAAGTTGACATATGGGTCATTTCCAGTCAAAAACTAGGTCACAGGAGCTAAAAATAGAAAAAGCTTGTTAATACTCTAGTGGCTGCAGTTTTTATCCAAATATCCTGAATATTGGTCAGGAAGGTTGTTTTGATGATTTCAAGGTCAAGTTGGAATATGGATCAACTCCTGTCAAAAACTAGGTCACAGGAGCTAGAAATAGAAAAATCTTGCTAACACTTTAGTGGCTGCAGTTTTGATCGAAATATTCTGGAAATTTGTCAGGAAGGATGTGTTTGATGATTTAAAGATGGGTCATCTTGGATCAAAAACTAGGTTGAAGGAGCTAAAAATAGAAAAAGCTTGTTAACACTCTAGTGGCTGCAGTTTTGATCCAAATATCCTGAATATTGGTCAGGAAGGTTGATTTGATGATTTCTAGTTCCAGTTCACATATGGGTCATCTCCAGTCAAAAACTAGGTCACAGGAGTTAAAAATAGAAAAAGCTTGTTAACACTAGTGGCTGCAGTTTTGAACCAAATATCCTGAATATTGGTCGGGAAGGTCGTTTTGATAATTTGTAGATCAAGTTCGAATATGGGTCATCTCGGGTCAAAAACTAGGTAACAGGAGCTAAAAATAGAAAAATCTTGCTAACACTCTAGTGGCTGCAGTTTTGATTGAAATATTCTGGAAATTTGTCAGGAAGGTTGTTGTGATGATTTCTAGGTCAGGTTTGAATATGGGTCTCCTGGGGTCAAAAGCTAGGTCACACTACCCAAATGTGGATAAAAAACCTTGTTAACACTCAAGAGTTCACATTTTTGACTCCATTGTCATCAAACTTGGTCAGGATGCAGACATTGCTCGGATGTGGTTGATGGGTCAGGGGAGCGAACTAGGGCCATCATGGCTCTCTTGTTTAAGGGCTTGTGTGACTAAAAGTGACAAAAATGATCAAAAGAAAACTCACATAAGTACCATTTTATAAGTATGTCCGTCTTTCCGCACTACCCAAAAGAGACAAGAAGCCACCTAGCTGTGAACAAAACAGAAGAGAACAAGAGAACAATAGTTCATTCTGTAACAATAGAATAACGGGCCGTTGGTCCTCTGTTAAACAATAGAAAATAACAAAAAAATGGCCCCTTATTCCAACTGGGCCGGACATCCGTCCGTCCATCTGAGCTAACACTTGGATACTTGTGTGGCTAGAGGAACATTAGGTAACTGTACTTTTTCTTTGAAGTCATTCATTCCGTAAGGCTTTTATGTGGCTATTTTCTTTTATGTGGCTAAAAAGAACAATAGAGAGAACAAAAGAGTAGCCACATTATTACTGTCTCGTTAGAATGTCCGTCCTTCTGTCCCACATTTTTGTATGGAGCATATCTCAAAAAGTATATGAGGTATACTTAATACTTAATTTTTCTCCTGAGTGGAGCATAACTTAAAAACACCTTTGAGATGTCAACATGAATCTTCATAGTTTGATAGATCTTATTTAGGAGGAATGCTGTGCACAAGAATGATAACTCTACCCTTTATAATTTTTTAGTTAATGCCCTTTGTTATTTTTCATACCTTTTGTCCTGAGCTTATCTAAAAAAGAATTAGAGGTATCAACTTGGAACTTCAAAGGTGGATATATCTCATTGAGGAGGAGTGCAGGACACAAGAATGATAACTCTACCCTGCATAATTTTTCAGTTATTGCCCTTTGTTATTTTTCATGCAATTTTTTGTCCAGGCTATAACTCAAAACTTCTAAGAGATATCAGATTGAACTTTGGGGGCATACCTCTCTTTTATTATTTTTGTACTTTGTTATTGCCAATTGATATACTTTTAAAATCTCTATCCTCTTTTTATTCCTCAGCCAAAAAGGTGTTGGGGATCTGTTTTCCATTCTTATGATTATCATACATATGTCTTATCTGTTTATTTTATTCTGAATTTAAACATTGTTAACATTTACTTTTAAGTGGGGAAGAGACATGGTAATCAGAATTCACAGACATTCTGGAAAAAAAGGTACTAAAAGTTTTATAAATATCCCTATTATATTTGAAATAGACAACATAATATAGATCAGGGAGTCTTGACAATATCACAAAAAATTTCCAATTGCAGAATTTTGAATTAATACACACCTTTTGTTACACAATTTAAGGAACAAAACAGCTCAGTCACCATTTAATGTTATGTTGACTTACATATGAAAAGTCACAATATTAAGAGCTTGACTTTCAAATTGTTGTATATTCTAGGCTTTTGTCAGGTGTGTCAAGAATGTCAAGTGCTAGTAATAACCTAGCAGAAGATTTTAACCCTAATAGAGATGAAGCAGCTTCAATGCCAGTTGCAACTTGTAAGACATGTTTCTCTATCTTTAATGTATGTATTGCTGTAATATTTCTTTCTGTTAGACATTGTTTGTTCAAGCTAGGGCTGTCATTGATGGAAAATTTTGTATCGATATAACGAGAGACAAATATCGACGATACATCGATATATCGACTGACAGTAGATACAATGAAAAACATTTATATATATGTGTTATAAATTGGGAGTATGGTGTTATGCATGCTTGTATTACACATTACAAATACTACAAACTAGCAGAAAGTTTGTTTTTTCTGTTATTCTTGTCACTGACAGTTAAAAACGGAGTTTAAAGTTCAAGTTAACCAAGAAAACTAGAAAAAAAAGACTTCTCTTATAAGCCAAAATATAGGCATATTAACTAACAGAAATAAAAAAAATTGTTTAGCTTCTATCGATATGTGAAAGTGTGTATCGATATTGTATCGGATGATGAATATCGACGATATATCGATATCGCGATAATCAATGACAGTCCTAGTTCAAGCTGACAATTTTATGTTTACTTTCAATTTTCTTTTCAAAGACAAAGTGAAGCTTTTGTCATGACCCTTTCCTTGGCATTGGTTTTATGTTGGTAACCTTTTCAAGGTAATGCTTCAACCTTGTTAGTTAGCTAAAGCCTTTGCTTTTATCATTTTATTATGCAATAAGAAATAGGAAGCATGATGCCTTAAGACAGATTCTTGTTTACATCTTTAAGCAGTTTAAAGTATCAAGTTTGATAATGTCCAAATGCATCATCTTTTTTATTATATTGAAATCAATGTCATATGGATTAATTTGCAGTTTTAATATTTTACAGGTTCAAGTACAGACAATGAAAATCCCTTTACACTTACAAAGGAAACAATTTCTGATGATTACATTGTTTTGTATGTGCATGACAAAAGGTAAATATTCTGAATTAATTATTACTTTTTATATCATTTGAAAGAAAAATTTTAGGCAGCGATTTAATATAACAACTAATTTCCTTTTAATACGTCCGTTTGAAAAAAACAGGACTTATTATATTAGAATGCCCCTGGCAGGCTGGTAGAGATATGGGTAGATGGCAGGATGGTGATGACGCATATCTTTTTTCTTCTTCCTATGTTGAAAAATCTGTTAGTTATTGCAAAAAAAAGACTTAAAATATGGCAAAATTGCAATATATTTGGACCCAATTATAATTTGATCAAAACATTTGAAATAAAACATAAGAAACATTTTAAAAATCATGATAAGGAGATCATGTTTAACCTGTGGACACTTAGTTTTCTCCTCTAAATGTTTTGTCATTGACACTTTAAGGTTTGTCCTACATCTATCAGACATTTCCCTATCCCTGAAGACTGTCCATTAAAACTGATAAAGATGATACATACAAACCTTAAAAAACGATTACGTCTTTGACAGTGGCATAATTAAATGCATTGGCCCTTTAAAATGTTCCTGACATAGGTCCTGTGGGGTTTTAGCTGGTAGGGGACTTTTATATTGCTTGCAATACTTTGATAATTGCTTGTTATACCCCCCGAAACAAAGTTTGGGGGGGGGGGGTATATAGGAGTCACCCGGTGGTCGGTCGGTCGGTTGGTTGGTCGGTCGGTCGGTCCAGACGTCCGTTGCATTTTCCTTGTCCGGAGCATAACTTGAAAACCATAAGTTAGAATTCAATACAACTTCATACAATGATCAACACATAGAGAGGAAGTGCAGTGCACAAGAATCATAACTCTATCTTGACTAATTACAGAGTTATTTCCCTTTGTTACTTTTCCTTGTCCGGAGCATAACTTGAAAAGTACTGGTTGAAATTCAAAACAACTTCATACAATGATCGACACATAGAGAGGAAGTGCAGTGCAGAAGAACCATAACTCTATCTTAAGTAATTACAGAGTTATTGCCCTTTGTTACTTTTCCATTGCTTTCATTTGTCCGGACCATAACTTGAAGACTAATGTTTGGAATTCAGTATAACTTCATACAATGGTCAAGCACATTGAGAGGAAGTGCAGTGCACAAGAACCAAAACTCCATCTTGACTAATTACAGAGTTAATTGCCCTTTGTTATTTTTCCTTGTCTGGAGCATAACTTGAAAACTACTGGTTGGAATTCAAAACAACTTCATACAATGGTCAAGCACAATAAGAAAAAGTGCAGTGCACAAGAACCATAACTCTATCTAAAGTAATTACAGAGTTATTGCCCTTTGTTATTTTTTCATTGCTTTTTTTGTCCGGAGCATAACTTGAAGAGTAATGGTTGGAATTCAATACAACTTCTTACAATGATCAAGGACATTGAGAGGAAGTGCATTGTACAAGAACCATAACTCCATCTTGACTAATTACAGAGTTATTGCCCTTTGTTACTTTTCCTTGTCCGGAGCATAACTTGAAAACTACAAGTTGAAATTCAATACAACTTCATACAATTATCAAGCACATTAAGAGGAAGTGCAGTGCACAAGAACCATAACTCTGTCCAGGCTAATTATAGAGTTATTGCCCTTTGTTACTTTTCCATTGCTTTTTTCCTGTCCAGAGCATAACTTGAAAACTACTAGTTGGAATTCAATACAATTTCATACTATTGTCAAGTATATTGAGAGAAAGGCAGTGCACAGAAACCATAACTCTTTCTTGACTCATATAAGAGTTTTTGCCCTTTGTTACTTTTATTGTCCAGTGCACATAACTTGAAAATTAATGGTTGGAATTCAAAGAAACTTCATACATTGGTCAAGGGCAGTAAGATGAAGTGCAGTGCACTAGAACCATAACTCTATTTGGACTAATTACAGTTAATGCCCTTTGTTACTTTTTTTGTCCAGTGCGTAACTTGAAAACTAGTAGTTGGAATTCAATACAACTTCATACAATGATCAAGTGCAATGAGAGGAAGAGCAGTGTACAATAACTATAACTCCATCTTCAGTATTTGTAGAGTTATTGCCCTTTGTTCCTTTCCTTGTCAAGTGCATACCTTAAAAACTAGAAAAAAGAAAAAAACTTTCAATACACTTGAATACTACTAATTTTTTTCAATCTGAGGTATATGCAGCCTGACCATGAATCAAATTTTGGACCATAAGAATGCCATACTGTAGTTCTACCAACAGAGTTATCAGGCTGCTTACACATTCTGTCCCCTAACAATTGAACAATTTTACATTCTGACATACTCCTCTGCTGTATTGAAACTCCTTAAATTTATAATGGAAACAGATAAGAAAGTTAATTGACTCTTAGCTTCATAGAATTCAGGTTCAAATGTCCAAGGGTAAGATTGGTAAATACTGTACCATGGTTCGACCAACTGAGCTATCTAGTGTCTTTCTCATTCACATAATAAGTGAACAGTTTTTTTACTGTAATGTACCCCTTTGTTATATTGAAATTTGTTTTCAAATTTCTAATTGGAACAGAGAGCTTTATACATTGTTTGTCCGATGTTTAGTGCAAAATGCCATAGGGTAAGATAAAGGTGCAGCCTGACTGGGACTTGACCCAGGGATTCTTCCAATATCGTACTGGCTCTATTCACTGCCATAAACAGATATTTAATGCTCCCCAAAGGGTGAGCATATAGTTGCCTCTTTGTCCATCCATTGTGTCGCCTCTACGGAGTAGTGGTGACATATAGGGATCACTTTTCCATCGTCTGTCTGTCCGCACAAACATTTCAGGTGTATGAGCTTACTAACAGTACACTGGGACAAAAGAAAACAAAGGACTTCAATCCATAATAATTTATAGCTCAAAAGGAAACAATAGTTAGTCCACAAGGAAACAAAAGAAAAGAACAATAGAAATAGCTCATTAACTTGAAAAATTAGTGCATCTCTATCCTTCCACTATTCTTGTCCGGGACATAACTCTTAAACAACAGTAGGTATCAACTTAAAGATTTGTATGCAGATAGATCTCATTCCATAGATGTGCAGTGCAAAATAACCTTAACTCTGCCTTGCCTAATTTTGGAGTTATTGCCCTTTATCATTTTTGCACTTTAAACTTTGTCCGGGACATAGCTGTAAAATATAATAGATATTTACATGAAACTTTGTAGGTAGACAGATCTAATTAGGTTGTAGTGCAGTGCAAAAGAACCATAACTCATCTTTGTCTTATTTTGGAGTTATTGCTCTTTGTTCATTTTTATGCCTCCTGGGCATATAGTAATTGAACCGTCAGTCCTTCTGTCCGCACGACCTGAATTGACGTTATGGGTTCATTCCTTACAGACATCACTTGTGGGGAAAAAAGATGAAAAAAGTTGCTTGTGGGGTGAAAAACGGTTGCTTATGGGGTTTTTGAGGTCAAAGAGATCAAAGTAAAAACCCCATAATGTCATATCAGGAAGAACGTCTGTCGGTCTGTCGGTACAATGTTAACCTAGAACGGCAAGCTGGATTTTTATTAAGTTCTACCTTTACCAGTGGCTTCTTATTTTACACACTTACTAATCAATACACAGTACATGATCTGGGCAAGTTAATAACTATGGCTTCCATGCTTACCAAGTTATTGCCCTTTTCAGCACTTAGAAAATGAATAATGGTTAACCTAAAATGGCAATTGGAAATATCTTAAGTTCTATCTATACTCATGGCTTTATAATTTCCACACTTACTTATCAATAAAAAGTACATGATATTGCCAAGTTATATAACTGTGTCATCCATATTTCCCAGTTATTTCCCTTTTTTCTTGTTGAAAATAGGGCCTTATCTGGTTATTCCGGCAAGTTGGATTTATCTTAAATTTCTCCTAATTGCTTAATTTATTTAATGATATCTTTCATGGTCCTCTAATTAATTTTGGAGTAAGCGGTCTCTAGGGTCAAGGTCAAGGTCACGAGTGTAAAAAATAAAATTTTGCTCATACAGCCTTTATTTTTTAGTTGATGTCTTTCATGTTTAATAAAAACATGCCAAGGGAGGTCCTCCTTCTTTGGGTGTAGTAAGGGGACATTTGGGTCAAGGTCAGTGTCACCAATATCAAGGTCAACAATATTCAAAATAGATTTTTACATTTTTACAGGTGTATTAACCTTATTCTATAGACAGATGTCATTTATAATTGATAGAAACATAAAATTTGATGGAGTTAGTGGTCAATTGGGTCAAGGTCACTTGTGCTAAAAATAGATTTTTACACTTTTGCTCATACAGCCTTTATTTATTGACAGATGTATTTTATATTTGGTAGGAATATAACTTGCATGGTATTCATCCTTTGATTGGGGTAGGGATCAGTGGGTCAAGGTCACTTGTGCTAGAAATAGATTTTTACACTTTTGCTCATACTGCCTTTATTTATTGACAGATGTATTTCATATTTGGTTGGAAGATAACTTGCATGGTATTCTTCCTTTGGATGGAGTTAGGAGTCAGTAGGGTCAAGGTCACCAGTGCTAAAAATAGATTTTTACACTTTTGCCCATACAGCTTTTATTTATTGACAGATTTATTTCATATTTGGTAGGAAGATAACTTGATTGGTATTCTTCCTTTGGATGGTTTTAGGGGTCAGTTGGGTCAAGGTCACCAGTGCTAAAAATAGATTTTTACAGTTTTGCTCATACAGCCTTTATTTATTGACATATTTATTTCATATTTAGTTGGAAGATAACTTGCATGGTATTCTTCCTTTGGATGGAGTTAGGGGTCAGTTTAGTCAAGGTCACCAGTGCTCAGAAAAGATTTTTACACTTTTGCCCATACAGCCTTTATTTATTGACAGATGTATTTCATATTTGTTAGGAAGATAACTTGCATGATATTCTTCCTTTTGATTGAGAGAGGGGTCTGTGGGTCAAGGTCAAGGGTTCCAATAATAGATTTCTTGCATTTGTATATATTTGATAAAGTTGAATATTTTTCAACTTAACAAGTCATAGCAATGACTTGGCAACTTATATTTTTCACAATTACAAAGTGCCATGACTCTGTCAAGCTACTGTATAAGTGGATATTTTTGCATCACAAAAATTTTGCGAATGCCCAAAAGTGGACATTTTGCGTACAAAAATATTTGCGAAAATATGATTTCTTGAATTATCTAATACTGTTGTTTGTGACAGCAGAAATTACGCAGGTAAATCATATGAGATCTCCATTATTGTTATAGTTTAATTTATTCAGTTGTTTGTTTGATATGTTTGTTTTATTTGTTTCGAAAAAACATTGTTGGTTGATAAATGACCTGAAGGCACAATTATTTATACTATTCTAAAACATTCTTTTGTTATATTAATAGCCTATTGTGTTATTGACTCATATAATTGTTACATTACAAAATTGTGATTAGTCAATAACAAACTTAACCAAACAAGCAATAAAACAATATAAGAAATCTAAACAGTTAAACTTATCGATGCTTTATAAAATTGTGTTAAAAATTATAAATGTTAGTTTGCCTAAAACAGAAATAATTTTTGAGCGATCAAATGTTTTCGAATAATCTCAATTTGCAAAAATCACAAATATTTCCACGTCGCAAAATTAACTACTTATACAGTATATAACTTATGTTTATAATTTTCTGGCAATTTTTCTGTCCATAACTGAGTGAATGGGTAAACATTTTTTGAAATATTGCTACTGACAAGAATTTGAGCCGGGGGCATTTGTGTTTAACAAACACATTCTTGTTTCACTTTAAACTTTGTCCTGGACATAGTTCTAAAACTATAAGAGATAACAACATGAAACTTTGTATGTAGTTAGATCTCATTGGGTAGAAGTGCAATGCAAAAGAATGTTAACTGCCTTTCCTAATTTTGGAGTTATTGCCCTTTGTTCATTTTTACACTTTGAACTTTGTCTAGGACATAACTCTAAAACTAGAAGATTTACCAAAAAGAAACTTTGTATGTAAATGGTCTCATTAGGTAAAAGTGCAAGGCATAATAACCATAACTCTGTCTTGGCTTAAAGTTAGAGTTATTGCCCTTTGTTCAATAATACACTGTGAGAATCATTAATAAGTAGTTTCTCTGTGTCCAATACCTGTTTAAGCTCTTGTTCTGCTTATAAATGAATAGTTCTTGACAGTGACAAAAGTATTATATTTGTTTCATGAAAAGATTTTTCACATTGAAAAAATGTCTTCATTCAATTTATGTTTTCCATTTATGTTCAACTGGTTTTGAGATTATTATACCCCCGCACTACAAAGTTGTAAGGGGGGTATACTGGAATCAGCTTGTCCCACTGGCCGTCGGGTGTCCGTAGGTTTTATTTTGTCCGCCCAATAACTTATATACCTCTGACCACAGTCTTCATATTTGGCATGGAGTCATATTTGGCATGGAGATTAGTCATGATAAGTAGATGACCCCTATTGATTTTGAAGTCACCAGGTCAAAGATTAAGGTCACAGGGACCTTGACTGAAAAAAGCTTGTCCGCCCAATAACTTAGGATTTCACCAATCTGTTACATTACTATCATTTCCAGCCATGTTTCAACACTCCAACTGATAAGAAAGCAGGAGTTATTGACAACATTTATGTAAACTTTGATCCAGCAGGAATAATTACTTATATGATACCTACCTATTACAGTGACCACTTTGTGCTTGGTGTAGCTATACCATCCAACCATATATAAACAGCAACTTTCACTTATCTTTTATAATTTCATTCAAAGATCAATTGTGAGTATTAACATTTCATTCTCCATCTACATTTTCCATTTTCAAATTTGAAGCATATAAGTATGTTCTCATATATTTATCATAAAACACCCCCAGGCAAAGCTGTATGAAGGGGGGTATTGAAGTCATGCAGTGGCAGTTTCAGTTTTAGGTCAGTAGGTCAAAGGTAAAGGTCACTTTGATCTTTGCCACTAAAAACATGTAGAACACATAACTAAGCAACGCATAGGCTTACTACCCTCAGATTTAACAGGAAGGTTCACCTTGAGCTTTAAATGACCACTGTTTATTCTGACAAAGCGGTATGCGGGGGTATTCAAGCCATAACAATGGCAGTTCTAGTTTTAAGTAAATTTATTTTGCATCTTCATTATAATTAATAAAATATCATAAACATGAGCTTGAATTTTGTTCTTGTATTTTTTTTATTAGAATGAAGACAAAGAGTGTAGACATTGCAACAAATAATGATAAAGAGGCTTTAGGTATGAAATATTTTAGTCAATTTTATATAATTAAAGTGAGAACCCATGGTACATGATAAAGATTTTGAAATAATAATAACATGACAATTAGTTTTTAATTTAATGTTACTATTAAAAATAATGACTGAAAATATTTGCAGTACATTTTGATAAAAACAAATTATTTTTTAGCTCACCAGAACCAAAGGTTCAAGGTGAGCTATTAGTATAGAATTGGGATGCTCCAGCGTCTGTCATCCATTGTTATGTGTGAACATTCATCTTTTCTGTGAAACTATTGGGCAGATTAACTTCAAATTTAGTCTGTAGCATCCTTTTGATAGTCACTTCAATTTGCTCATGTCATTACAATTAGCCCTTTTAGGGGTCACTAGAGCTAGAAATAGAAAAACCTTTAAACATTTACTCCTACTGAACTAATGGATGGATGATCACAAAACTTTGTGTGTAGCATTCTTTAGTGGTCTTTTATCAAGTTTGCTCATATTAATTTTGTTGGCCCCTTTTAGGGGCCCCTAGAGCATAAAAAAGAAAAAACCTTCAAACACCTTTTCCTACTGAATTAATGGATGGATGATCACCAAACTCTGTCTGTAGCATTGCTACATATTCTTTTATTTATCAAGTTTGCTCATATTAATTTGATTGGCCCCTTTTATGGGCCACTTGAGCCAAAAATAGAAAAACCTTTAAACCTCTTCTCCCACTAAACTAATGAATAGATTGGTCACCAAACTTTGAAGCATTCTTATATGGTCTAGATTAGATTAGTCACCAAACTTTGTCTGTAACATTCTTATATGTTTCTTTATCAAGGTTGTAGTATTCTTAGAAAGTATTCAATGATATTTGCTCATATTAATTTGATTGGCCAGTTTTAGAGGTCAACAGAGCCGAAAATAGAAAAAAAACCTTTATGGATTGAATCACCAATCTCTGACTGTAGCATTCTTTGATGATATTTATTGTGTTTGATAAAATTAATTTGATTATCCCCTTTTAAGGTGCCTCTTGAGCTTAAAATAGAAAAACCTATAACATGTTATTCTATTTAATTAACTAATTGATGGATGATCACCAAATTTTGTTCATAGCATCTATTGCATTCTAAGATGTTCTTTTATCAAATTTGCTCAAATAAATTTGATTGCCCCTACCCCTTTAGGGTCCTTTAGAGCTTTAAATGATAAATGATCACATTACTCTACTACATGCTGGAAAGTATTTTTTTAAGTTTATGAATAAGTGCATACTGGAAGGTATTTTTAAAGAAAATTTAATTAGTAACACTGATATAGAGTAAATTTGCAACAAGAGGAAATTGACAAACTCACTAAATGTCAATTTTACAAGTACATAATCCAGATTTATACACCTGTCTTCTACACTGCAGTATACATCTATTTTTAGCACTGGTTAAAGTGCCTGGTACATAGAATACACAGCTTAAATCAGCATTAACTGTCCATTAGTGGTGATTTAACATGTTGGATTTTAAATTATTTCAACAAAATGGTTTTGTGAAATAGGATGTTTGTTATTGGGAATTTTGATATGTAATTTCCGTTGGAAACAGTGCAATTTTCATGTAGTAGTTACAGGAAAAAAGGCTTTAAGAATAATCACCAAACTTTGTTTGAAGCCTTCTTAGATGGTCTTTTTTAAAGTTGCTTAAATCAATTTGAATGGCCGCTTTTAGGGGCTTCTAGATCTATAAATAGAAAAATCTTTTAATATCATCTAATTAAGTAATTGATGGATTATCAGCAAGCTTTTTCTGTAGTATTCTTAGATGGTCTTTTATCAAGTTTGCACAATTTAATGTAGGTGGTCCCTTTTAAGATATAAGTATGACTTTGACCCCAGATAGTCATATTGAGAAATAATTTAAGATTTATTCATATTGAAATAGTAATAGTTCACTTGTAACTTCTTATATATTGATATAAATGATACCAGTTTATCAATATAAAACTGAACCTAGATCACAAAAATTCATAACTGGAACGGATATAGCTTTTTGTAGGACACTTATTTACATTAAAACACTTGACTTATTTTGATTTTGATTTAAAGAGTTCATGTCCTCTACAAATGGCCTTTTTTCCATTTTTATTATTGTATTTATTAGCAGGGCTTTTTTTATTCTATAGCTGTAGCCACATACAGATTACACCACCCAGAAAATTCCTTTAAGATCATACAATTTTTCCCAAATTTGAAACTTATCCCAGTATTTTTCACTCCCCTGTCAGCTTTTTGCTGTAAGATTTATTGCCCAAAGATGCTATTTCCCCAAAAATTTGAAGGCTAATGCTCCATCCCCTGAGCCTATTAAAAAACCCAGATATGCATATGATAGACAGAAATTTCATGTCTACACAATGTGCTTGTTTAGCTGCAAAGCTCATATGGTACAGCATCTAAATTAATAAAAACATTCTAACAAACAAAAATGGAAATTTACTTTACAAAAGGCAGTTGTTTTGGTGAGCACTTCAGGGCCACTATGGCCCTCTTGTTTTGTATTTTCATTTTCTGTTATGTTACCAAATTTATCTTAAATAAATGATAAAGTGGTAAAAAATGTTACATTGATCAGATTTACCAACACTGAGTGTAGTAAGAAGAAAGTTTTACAAAATATGTCTCATATGATATACATTTACAGATCAAAGATTGATGAACAATGAGGAAACTCCAACTTTTAACCCAGGGTAATTGTGAAGTTTCATTTTTTATTATCTTTTTGAAAGAAAAAAACAAACAACAACACACGCAACATTTTCATGTGAACTGTTATTCAAAGCTAAATGTTGACCTAGATTGCGTTTTGTTTATGATTTAAATAAAACATGTTTCATTAAGGCTATAAAATAACTTTGCTTAATTAAATTAAAAAAGGAAGTTCTAGTGGTATCAGGTTATTGATAATATGACAAATAATTCAACAAAGATCTGTTCAACTTGATTATATTTTTTTAGCTCACCTGAGCATGCTCAGGTCGATGACTGTCCATCGTCCGTCCACATTTAGTTTGTTAACACTCTTGCAGTCACATTTATTCCTCAATCATCATGAAACTTTGTCAGAATATCTGTCTTATCATTATCTCAAATGAGTTTGATCATGAGTGACCTCCAATGAAAAACTAGGTCACAGGAGCTAAAAAAAGAAAAAGCTTGTTAACACTCTAGCAGTCACATTTATTTCTCAATCATCATGAAACTTTGTCAGAATATTTGCCTTATTAATATCTAGTACAAGTTTGATCATTGGTGACCTCCGATGAAACACTAGGTCACAGGAGCTAAAAATAGAAAAAGCTTGTAAACACTCTAGCAGTCACATTTATTTCTCAATCATCATGAAACTTTGTCAGAATATCTGTCTTATTAATATCTCGGATGAGTTTGATCATAAGTGACCTCCAATAAACTACTAGGTCACAGGAGATAAGAATAGAAAAAGCTTGTTTACACTCTAGCAGTCACATTTTTTCCTCAATCATCATGAAACTTTGTCAGAATATCTGTCTCATAAATATCTTGGATGAATATGATCATGGGTTACCTCTGATGAAAAACTAGGTCACAAGAGCTAAAAATAGAAAAAAGCTTGTTTACACTCTAGTCGTCACATTTATTTCTTAATCATCATGAAACTTTGTCAGACTATCTGTCTTATTAATATCTCGAATGAATGCGATCATGAGTGACCTCCAATGAAAAACTAGATCACATGAGTTAAAAATAGACAAATTTTGTTAACATTCTAGAAACTACAGTTACATTCAAAATGTCCTGGAAATTGGTCACAATTTAACATTGTCATATCAGTTTTAGATGATGACATTATATCTGCTTTTCACTCAAAGCTAACAATATTAGTTGTTTCTTGTCGTATAGAGCCCCAGTTATTAGGTGAGCGATAAAAGGGCCATCATGGCTGTCTTGTTTTATTGACCTATCAATCATAAATACATAATAACCCTGATACATTACATCAGAGCTTTACATGTAACTTATAAAAATTAATGTGGACTAAATAATTAACTACTTATACAGTATATAACTTATGTTTATAATTTTCTGGCAATTTTTCTGTCCATAGCTGAGTGAATGGGTAAACATTTTTTGAAATATTGCTACTGACAAGAATCTGAGCCGGGGGCATTTGTGTTTAACAAACACATTCTTGTTTCACTTTAAACTTTGTCCTGGACATAGTTCTAAAACTATAAGAGATAACAACATGAAACTTTGTATGTAGTTAGATCTCATTGGGTAGAAGTGCAATGCAAAAGAATGTTAACTGCCTTTCCTAATTTTGGAGTTATTGCCCTTTGTTCATTTTTACACTTTGACTTTTGTCTAGGACATAACTCTAAAACTAGAAGATTTACCAAAAAGAAACTTTGTATGTAAATGGTCTCATTAGGTATAATAACCATAACTCTGTCTTTGCTTAAAGTTAGAGTTATTGCCCTTTGTTCAATAATACACTGTGAGAATCATTAATAAGTAGTTTCTCTGTGTCCAATACCTGTTTAAGCTCTTGTTCTGCTTATAAATGAATAGTTCTTGACAGTGACAAAAGTATTATATTTGTTTCATGAAAAGATTTTTCATATTGAAAAAATGTCTTCATTCAATTTATGTTTTCCATTTATGTTCAACTGGTTTTGAGATTATTATACCCCCGCACTACAAAGTTGTAAGGGGGGTATACTGGAATCAGCTTGTCCCACCGGCCGTCGGGTGTCCGTAGGTTTTTTCTTGTCTGCCCATTAAACTTATATACCTCTGACCCACAGTCTTCATATTTGGCATGGAGATTAGTCATGATAAGTAGATTACCCCTATTGATTTTGAGGTCACCAGGTCAAAGGTCAAGGTCACAGGGGCCTTGACTGAAAAAAGCTTGTCTGCCCAATAACTTAAGATTCCTTTGACCCACAGTCTTCATATTTTGCATGGAGGTTAGTCATGATTAGTAGATGACCCCTATTGATTTTGAAGTCACCAGGTCAAAGGTCAAGGTCACAGGGACCTTGACTGAAAAAAGCTTGTCCGCCCAATAACTTAGGATTTCACCAATCTGTTACATTACTATCATTTCCAGCCATGTTTCAACACTCCAACCCATAAGAAAGCAGGAGTTATTGACAACATTTATGTAAACTTTGATCCAGCAGGAATAATTACTTATATGATACCTACCTATTACAGTGACCACTTTGTGCTTGGTGTAGCTATACCATCCAACCATATATAAACAGCAACTTTCACTTATCTTTTATAATTTCATTCAAAGATCAATTGTGAGTATTAACATTTCATTCTCCATCTACATTTTCCATTTTCAAATTTGAAGCATATAAGTATGTTCTCATATATTTATCATAAAACACCACCAGGCAAAGCTGTATGAAGGGGGGTATTGAAGTCATGCAGTGGCAGTTTCAGTTTTAGGTCAGTAGGTCAAAGGTAAAGGTCACTTTGATCTTTGCCACTAAAAACATGTAGAACACATAACTAAGCAACGCATAGGCTTACTACCCTCAGATTTAACAGGAAGGTTCACCTTGAGCTTTAAATGACCACTGTTTATTCTGACAAAGCGGTATGCGGGGGTATTCAAGCCATAACAATGGCAGTTCTAGTTTTAAGTAAATTTATTTTGCATCTTCATTATAATTAATAAAATATCATAAACATGAGCTTGAATTTTGTTTTTGTATTTTTTTTATTAGAATGAAGACAAAGAGTGTAGACATTGCAACAGATAATGATAAAGAGGCTTTAGGTATGAAATATTTTAGTCAATTTTATATAATTAAAGTGAGAACCCATGGTACATGATAAAGATTTTGAAATAATAATAACATGACAATTAGTTTTTAATTTAATGTTACTATTAAAAATAATGACTGAAAATATTTGCAGTACATTTTGATAAAAACAAATTATTTCTTAGCTCACCAGAACCAAAGGTTCAAGGTGAGCTATTAGTATAGAATTGGGATGCTCCAGCGTCTGTGATCCATTGTTATGTGTGAACATTCATCTTTTCTGTGAAACTATTGGGCAGATTAACTTCAAATTTAGTCTGTAGCATCCTTTTGATAGTCACTTCAATTTGCTCATGTCATTACAATTAGCCCTTTTAGGGGTCACTAGAGCTAGAAATAGAAAAACCTTTAAACATTTACTCCTACTGAACTAATGGATGGATGATCACCAAACTTTGTGTGTAGCATTCTTTAGTGGTCTTTTATCAAGTTTGCTCATATTAATTTTGTTGGCCCCTTTTAGGGGCCCCTAGAGCATAAAAAAGAAAAAACCTTCAAACACCTTTTCCTACTGAATTAATGGATGGATGATCACCAAACTCTGTCTGTAGCATTGCTACATATTCTTTTATCAAGTTTGTCCATATTAATTTGATTGGCCCCTTTTATGGGCCACTTGAGCCAAAAATAGAAAAACCTTTAAACCTCTTCTCCCACTAAACTAATGAATAGATTGGTCACCAAACTTTGAAGCATTCTTATATGGTCTAGATTAGATTAGTCACCAAACTTTGTCTGTAACATTCTTATATGTTTCTTTATCAAGGTTGTAGTATTCTTAGAAAGTATTCAATGATATTTGCTCATATTAATTTGATTGGCCAGTTTTAGAGGTCAACAGAGCCGAAAATAGAAAAAAAACCTTTATGGATTGAATCACCAATCTCTGACTGTAGCATTCTTTGATGATATTTATTGTGTTTGATAAAATTAATTTGATTATCCCCTTTTAAGGTGCCTCTTGAGCTAAAAATAGAAAAACCTATAACATGTTATTCTATTTAATTAACTAATTGATGGATGATCACCAAATTTTGTTCATAGCATCTATTGCATTCTAAGATGTTCTTTTATCAAATTTGCTCAAATAAATTTGATTGCCCCTACCCCTTTAGGGTCCTTTAGAGCTTTAAATGATAAATGATCACATTACTCTACTACATGCTGGAAAGTATTTTTTTAAGTTTATGAATAAGTGCATACTGGAAGGTATTTTTAAAGAAAATTTAATTAGTAACACTGATATAGAGTAAATTTGCAACAAGAGGAAATTGACAAACTCACTAAATGTCAATTTTACAAGTACATAATCCAGATTTATACACCTGTCTTTTACACTGCAGTATACATCTATTTTTAGCTCTGGTTAAAGTGCCTGGTACATAGAATACACAGCTTAAATCAGCATTAACTGTCCATTAGTGGTGATTTAACATGTTGGATTTTAAATTATTTCATCAAAATGGTTTTGTGAAATAGGATGTTTGTTATTGGGAATTTTGATATGTAATTTCCCTTGGAAACAGTGCAATTTTCATGTAGTAGTTACAGGAAAAAAGGCTTTAAGAATAATCACCAAACTTTGTTTGTAGCTTTCTTAGATGGTCTTTTTTAAAGTTGCTTAAATCAATTTGAATGGCCGCTTTTAGGGGCTTCTAGATCTATAAATAGAAAAATCTTTTAATATCTTCTACTAAAGTAATTGATGGATTATCAGCAAGCTTTGTCTGTAGTATTCTTAGATGGTCTTTTATCAAGTTTGCACAATTTAATGTAGGTGGTCCCTTTTAAGATATAAGTGTGACTTTGACCCCAGATAGTCATATTTAGAAATAATTTAAGATTTATTCATTGAAATAGTAATAGTTCACTTGTAACTTCTTATATATTGATATAAATGATACCAGTTTATTAATATTAAACTGAACCTAGATCACAAAAATTCGTAACTGGTACGGATATAGCTTTTTGTAGGACACTTATTTACATTAAAACACTTGACTTATTTTGATTTTGATTTAAAGAGTTCATGTCCTCTACAAATGGCCTTTTTTTCCATTTTTATTATTGTATTTATATGCAGGGCTTTTTTTATTCTATAGCTGTAGCCACATACAGACAACACCACCCAGAAAATTCCTTTAAGATCATACAATTTTTCCCAAATTTGAAACTTATCCCAGTATTTTTCACTCCCCTGTCAGCTTTTTGCTGTAAGATTTATTGCCCAAAGATGCTATTTCCCCAAAAATTTTTGAAGGCTAATGCTACATCCCCTGAGCCTAATAAAAACCAGATATGCAATATGATAGACAGAAATTTCATGTCTACACAATGCTTGCTTGTTTAGCTGCAAGCTCATATGGTACAGCATCTAAATTAATAAAAACATTCTAACAAAGCCAAAAATGGAAATTTACTTTACAAAAAGGCAGTTGTTTTGGTGAGCACTTCAGGCCACTATGGCCCTCTTGTTTTGTATTTTCATTTTCTGTTATGTCACCAAATTTATCTTAAATAAATGATAAAGTGGTAAAAAAAATGTTACATTGATCAGATTTACCAACACTGAGTGTAGTGAGAAGAAAGTTTTACAAAATATGTCTCATATGATATACATTTACAGATCAAAGTTTTGATGAACAATTGAGGAAACTCCAACTTTTAAACCCCAGGGTAAAAAAAATTGTGAAGTTTCATTTTTTTATTATTCTTTTGAAAGAAAAAAAACAAACAACAACACAAGCAACATTTTCATGTGAACTGTTTATTTCAAAGCTAAATTGTTGACCTAGATTGCGTTTTGTTTATTTTGATTTAAATAAAACATTGTTTCTTAAGGCTATATAAAATAACTTTGCTTAATTAAATTAAAAAAGGAAGTTCTAGTGGTATCAGGTTATTGATAATATGACAAAATAATTCAAAAAAGATCTGTTCAACTTGATTATATTTTTTTAGCTCACCTGAGCATGCTCAGGTCGATGACTGTCCGTCGTCCGTCCACATTTAGTTTGTTAACACTCTAGCAGTCACATTTATTCCTCAATCATCGTGAAACTTTGTCAGAATATCTGTCTTATCAATATCTCAAATGAGTTTGATCATGAGTGACCTCTGATGAAAAACTAGGTTACAGGAGCTAAAAAAGAAAAAGCTTGTTAACACTCTAGCAGTCACATTTATTTCTCAATCATCATGAAACTTTGTCAGAATATTTGCCTTTATTAATATGTCAGTTACAAGTTTGATCATTGGTGACCTTCGATGAAACACTAGGTCACAGGAGCTAAAAATAGTAAAAAGCAGTAAATATCTCGGATGAGTTTGATCATGGGTGACCTCTGATGAAACACTAGGTCACAGGAGTTAAAAATAGAAAAAGCTTGTTTACACTCTAGCAGCCACAGTTATTCCTCAATCATCATGAAGAATATCTGTCTAATTGATATCTCGAATGAGTTCGATCATGGGTGACATCAGATGAAAAACTAGGTCACATTAGTTAAAAATAGACAAATTTTGTTAACATTCTAGAAACTACAGTTACATTCAAAATGTCCTGGAAATTGGTCACATATGAACATTGTCATATCAGTTTTAGATGATGACATTATATCTGCTTTTCACTCAAAGCTAACAATATTAGTTGTTTCTTGTCGTATAGAGCCCCAGTTATCAGGTGAGCGATAAAAGGGCCATCATGGCTGTCTTGTTTTATTGACCTATCAATCATAAATACATAATAGCCCTGATACATTACATCAGAGCTTTACATGTAACTTATAAAAATTAATGTGGACTAAATAATTCATGTTTTGAAAAGACACGCTATCTTAAATCACTGACTTAATCTTATCCATGATCGCACAGTGGATAAGGTAAATACACTTCACAACACAGATGTCCATGGGTTGATCCCTTAATTGTTGGAAATTTCACTTTTCATTTATTTCCATATGCTACTTTTAATGCTATTTGAGAAAAACACTCGTGAAAATTGAAAAATATGGGATTTGAGATGAATTTTTTTATAACAGGCCATATTATTGTAAATATTTTGAGAATCTGTTAAAAGATGTCTTTACCTTCATGTTTTTCTGGAAGCTAAAGAAGCCTCTCAGAAATGGTGTGACTATATCTTACAGATTAAAGCAGGGTTGTGACTTGTGCATTCAGTGCACTGCTATGTTGACCAGTAGTGTTGACTAGCTAATATAAATAATTCTTGTAAAAAAATATGGATATATACAGCTTCAATCTTACAACATGCATTTAGATGCTTAATTTGATTGATTTTGTAACATAGTTATTTCAAACAGATCTAGGTGCTCATAGCTCTCTGTACATCTAAAGAACAATGGCAAAGACATGTTGAATATTTACATATAGTGTGAGCTGACCATATAATTAATATGCTACATTGTATTGACAGGTTAATAAAATCAATAGGTGTTGCCATAACATATTGTTAGATTATCTTTTTGTCAGATCAATTCCATATTACTTAGATAACACTTTATCATTTTATCATATTTAGGTCTCCAGGTGCAACAAAATCTCCTGAAGTAACCTCTCTTTCTCAGACCACAAATATAGAAAATGGTTCTGGTGGACATGATCTTAGAACAAGTAAGAATGGTTAGTAAATTAGTATGCTACAATAGATATAACATTTAATTATTATTGTTAATTGGGCCCCTGCTTGGCGGTGGCTCTCGTGTGCATATCAGTGATGATCATTTTCTTGTTAATGTATTAAAGTTGGAGATTTAAACAAATAAAAATACTGCAAACATTGAATGTTTAAAAAAAATTTCATCTATTTCCATTTGATAATAGTGTGTAACTATCTCAGCGTTTTTCCTTTGATGTTAAACAAGGTCACAAATAATAACCCATACAAATAAATAACAAAGAAACAATAAAAACTTTACACATGTACCAGAGTGGCATAAATAAAGCTATACATTTTGCAGAAATTTAGTATAGATCATGATAAGAGTGTATACAGAATACCTATAATGAAAGAAAATTGTGTGCCTATGTATTGTCATTGAGTGGAATTAAGTGCAAATTGAATACAATTAATTTTGACTAAATATGTCATGTTATAGATTCTAGCTTAGATCTAGCATGATCGTGGCCAAAATTCAATGTCAAGCTCAGAGCTTATGGCCATGCATCTCCAAAATACCCACATCTTCATCAAAAGCTTCAGTGATGGGCATACATGTACATTGCGACAAATAATAGCCCTTGTTATTGTACAGTAGTGCATAATTCCCTGCCATAATTATTTCACATTTTATAAAGAAAACTGGCCCAAGTTATAAATTTTCTTTACCTTTATTAAAGATTATGACATTTTCTTTTGTCACATCTAGCACTGATTTTAATTCAAGAAAATTCCTTTATAAATGTCTCAAGTTTGCACAGCTTGAGCACTTATAAACTGTGTTAATATATGTAAATAAGACAGAGTCAAGTCAAAAACTATAAAATAACTAAAAAATATGTCAACATGATAAACAATTATTGTAAAATATTTACAACAGTTAAACACATTATAATTCCACAAACAAAGTTTAGGGGGATATATAGGAGTTGGCTTGTTGGTCTGTCAGTCTGTTGATCAGTTGGTCCACATCATGGTTTCCTGACGATAACCTGAGTTTTAATGAGGTATTGTAATAAAACTTGATATAAAGCAAGCTTATATGAAGACCCAAATTGGTATTGCATTTTGACCCCCTGGGGTCAAGGTCAACATTACTAAAGATAGTAAAATGGTTTCCAGACAATAACTAAAGTAAGGAATGAGATAGTGTAATCAAACTTGGTGTATCGCAAGCTTATATGAAGACCCCAGCTTGTTTTGCATTTGACCCCCTGGGATCAAGGTCACCATTACTTAAAACAGAAAAATTGTTTGCAGACAAAAACTGAGTTAGAAATGAGTTATTGTAGTCAACTTGGTGTATAGCCAGCTTTATGAAGACCCAGCTTGGGATAAGGTTTGCAAGATCACTGTTACTAAAAATAGAAAAAATGTTCCAGGTCATGGTCACTGTTACTACAAATAGAAAAATTGTTCACTGGCAATAACTAGAGTTAGGAATGAGATATAATAATCAAGTTTAGTGTAAAGCAAGCATATTTGAAGACCCTGGTTTGGATTGCAATTAATTGAAATAATTCTTTGTTCACATTTGAAACTTAATAAATTTTAGATCAAGTTCAAATTTTTCTTCAGACAACATATTTTTCAAAAGTCAAGGTTGCTGGTGGCAGTATTAATCAACCTTAGTGATAGCTCTAGTTTCTTTTTTTTTCAAGTTATTTACTCTTATTCCCCAAGGTCCTTCTTTCTCTTTTCTCTTGGTTTGTTATGATTGACAAAGCCTAGTTTTTCTCCTCTTCTTACTTAATAGATTTTTTAGGATTAAAGCCACTCACTGGCAAGGGCAAATCTATGGGAATGTCCAAATTGTCATACTTAACAAAACTTCTATATTTTTTCAGCCTCTCTTGTGTCCTGAATCTTTATTCCATTCAACACTGGTAACTGTAAAGTATAAGGCTATTTTACAAAGTTTTCCAAATTCTTTTAAGATCTGTATGCAACATAATCACTCTTTTATAAAGTTGATCAAGAGTAAGTGTTTCTTATGACCCAGTCATCATGCTTGGCCATTATGTGTTTTTTTGTTATGTTCTCAAGTTTCGACAGTTAGTTTTCCCTTAAGGATTCAATTTCTTTTAGTTCATTAAAATTATCTTCTAAATATGCTTTTTTGCCAGATCCTTCATTTCTTATAATGCCCCCTTCAAAGAAACGGAGCCATAATAATGTCAGTCAGTCTGTCTGTCTGTCAGAAGACCACAGGATTATCTTAAAAACTATTTATCATAAAAACTTTATAATTCACTATTTCACATACTGATTGGTCTTTGCTATAGATGAAACCCTATAGATTTTGAGGTCACTAGGTCTAAAGTCAAGTTCACATGGGCCATAAATGTTAGAATGTTTTCCTCTTATTATCTTTAAAACTCCCTCTTATTATTTTCAAAACTATCACATAGTTGTCATATTTCACATTACCACTAGATGATCCCTATTGATTTTTGGGTCACAAGGCCATAGGTCAAGGTCACATATGCCTTAAACACCAGAATGGTTTCCGCTGATTATCTAGAAAACTATTTTTTACAAGTATTCATACTTCACATACTATTTGGTCACAACTAGTAGATGATCTCTTATCGATTTTTGGGTCACTTATTCAAAAGTCAAGGTCACAGGGGCCTTAATTATAAGAATTGCTTCCTCTCATTATCTTGAAAACTCTTAATCACTAAGTCTGTGTGTTTCACATATTGATTGGTGATAGCTATCAGGTGATCCCTATCAATTTTCGGGTTACTAGTTCAAAGGTCAAGGTCAAAGGGACCTAATATGTGAGAATGGTTTTCACTCATTATCTTCAAAACTACTTGTTATTAAGTCTTAGTGTTTCAAAGAGTCTCAGCTTATTCTGTTGACACCAGTTAGTTACCAAGTCTTCATTTTTCACATATTTATTAGTTATAACTAATTAAATGTCATTAAATGTCAAAATGGTTTCTGCTGATTATTTTAAAAACTATTTGTCTCAATGTTGACTTATTCTACATACTGATTTGTCATCACGAGTAGATAACTTTGAAAGATTTTTTAGGTTTCAAAGTCAACGGTCAAGGTCACAGGGGCATTAAATAGCAAAATGGTTTCTGCTGATTATGTTGAAAATGTTTTATCACAATTTCTTCTTATTTCAAATACTGATTAGTCATATTAAGTAGAAGACTCCTGATTATCCCCCGCCTTTCGAAGAAAAAAGGGGGATAATAGAAATATGTTCTGTATGACACACTTTTGTGTCCAGTCCATAACTTTGTCAAAGGAATTTGAAATGACTTGGCACAAATGTTTGTTATAATAAGACAGTGTGTCTTGCGCAAGAATAAGACTCCTACCTCCAAGGTCAATGTCACACTTGCTCATTCAAGGTCAACATTGTCTATTTGAGGGTATAAATGTCATGTCTGGTCCATAACTTTTTCAAAGATCAAAGGACTTTGAAAATACTCGGCACAAGTAGTAACAATAATAAAAAGATGTGTCATGCGCAACACCTGAATCCCTACCTCCAAGGTCAAGGTCAATCTTAGAGGTCAAATATTAACATAGTCTGTTATAGGGTATATTTTATGTCCGGTCTATTACTTCTTCATAGTTCAAGGGATTTTGAAATTACTTGGCACAAATAGTCACAATTATAAGGTGATGTGGCACTGCTATACCTGTATCCTTACCTCCAAGGTCAAGGTCACACTTAAATGCTTAAATATTAACATTGTCTGTTAAAGGATATATTTTATGTCCTGTCTATAACTTCTTCATAGATGAATGGATTTTGAAAATACTTGGCACAAATAGTCAAAATTATAAGACAATATGTCAAGTACAACATCTGCACCTCTACGTCCAAGGTCAAGGTCACACCTAGAGGTCAAAGATTTATATAGTCTGTTATAGGGTATATTTTGTGTCTGGTCTATAACTTCTTCATAGATCAAGGTATTTTGTAAATACTTGGCACAAATGTTGTCAATATTGGGAAGATGTCTTGTGCCCAGAACTCATACCCTTACTTCTAAGGTCAAGGTTTCTCTTATAAGGTCACACTTACAATTAAAAGATATCATAGTCTGTGTTTTAGTATCCATAGAATAACTTCAAAAGTATTAGAGATAAACTCTGAATAGGATAATTGTTCCCTGCCTTTTGGAAGAAAAAAGGGGGATGTAGAAATGGTCACCATCAGTTTGTCCTATCAAAGAATTTTGAAATAACTTAGGTTTTATTTCATTATTAAATAAATTTGTTGTTGCATTTGCAGATCTAGGATTGATCAAAATTTTGGACTAAAAGTCCTGATCAATACCTCAATTTTTTGAAATACCACAATTTTTTATGCTTCATATAATACTTCCCTAAGGCGGGGGACGTTGGTAACTCTGTTACAAATTCTTGTAAATTAAGGGTCTGTAGATCAAAGATCAAGGACACTGGGGCCTTAAATGTCATCATGGTTTCAGCTGATCATCTTCAAAACATTTTATCACATAGTCCTCTTATTTCACATACTGATTGGTCATACTAGTAAATGACTTCTAATGATTTTGGGATCACTCTGTCAAAGGTCAAGGTCAAAGGGCCCTTAAATGTCAGAATTGTTTCTGCGTATTATCTTCAAAATTATATATTACGAAGTCTTCTTATTTCACATACTGATTGGTCATAACTAGAAGATGACTTCTATTGATTTTGGGGTTACTAGGTCAAAGATCAACATCACAGGGGCCTTAAGTATCAGAATGGTTTCCTCTTATTATCTTGATAAATGTTTGTCACAAAGTTTTCATATTTCATATATTGATTAGTCATATGTAGTAAATGAATTTTATTGATTTGGGGTCAGTAGTGCAAAGGTTAAGGTCACAGGGGCTTTAAATGTAAGAATTGTTTTGACTCCTTATTTTGAAAACTATTTATCACTTAGTCTTTATGTTTCACATTTTGATTGGTTATAACTAGTAGATAATCCTATAAGTTTTGGGGTCTTTAGGTCAAAGTTTCCAGTCAATTACTGAAGTAAGGCATGAGACATCTCAATTAAGTTAAATTTACAGTAAGCTTACATGTTTGTAAAGAACTTGCTTTTGATTGCTTTTGGGCCCCTAAGAATCAATGTCACAGTTTATAGAAATAGAATATTATTAGGGTTTTGGTCAATGGCTAGAGTGAGGAATGAGATACTCTGCTTAAACAAGGTGTAAAGCAAGCATATGTGAAGAATTTGCTTGGATGATTTCTTGTCTATAACTAGTGCTTGAAATGAGATATGTTAATTAAACTTAGTGTATAGCATGCTTTTTGTAAGACCTATTAAGAATATCATTTAAAGGTCAATTTCAGGATTACTAAAACAGAACACTGGTTTTTGGCCAGTTTCAGTAATTTAAAAAAGATTACAAAATTAAGTATTTAAAAAAGTGATGAAATAAATAAGGTTTTTAATTAAAAGTATACAAAAAGTACTTGAAAAGTAAATAAATTAAATAAACTTGAAATTATGAAAAAAAATGTATAAAATGAAAAAAAAGTTGCAACAAAAAAATATTTGATAAAACAATTGGAGAAGGGAAACAAGCTTTGCCGACATCCAGCTTTGGCTCTCAGGGAAAATCTAGCTTTGTGGCATTGCCATATTTTTTTAAACTTTCTAGGACACAAAGCTATTTTGTTAAAGGGATACTCAGGCAAATGAATGATAAAATATTAAATTTATCTGAATTACTCAAATCACACCAAAATGATATTTTAAAAAGTCCCAGCATGAAAGTTTGTATAAATACTATATATTTTGGGTATAAAGCATAATTACATCTATACATGTTGAACGAAATTAAGATGCCAACAGAATCACCAAGTAGTTTTAAAACAAGTTATGTGACTAGAACAAACCCTGGAAGTAATAATAAAAGATATTGTGGATATTGTTTGATTAAAACAAGTCTTAGTCTTTCATTTGGCAGGTGCTTTAATGTTTCAAAAGTGCACAATGACAACTATAGTAAAATCTGAATGTTCAAACCTGACCCACGTGGGTCAAGTTAGGAAACCACCATTTTATGCTTTATGAGGAGAAAGGTTTTGTTCCAGTAACTGCTCAGTGTGTTAATTTCTAGGACATTTATAGAATATTGAATGAAAAATTTAAATCAAAGAAATGAAAATTTTGCCTAAATCTCCCTTTATGGTAAGCTATAGATATTGTTAGTATTTTGTCTTAATGCTATACAGCTTAAATAGAGATACAATTAACTCTGAACTATCAAAACAAAACCATTATCATTTCCCATTCTTTTTCTTAACACATTTTATATCCCTACCCTAAATTCAGTGCTCTTTTACACTTCGCAATGTGTCAAGTGACATTTTGGTCCAGCATTTATATTTTCTAATAATATCTTTGTTATTCATATTTCCAGGGAAATCCAGAAAACCTTCACGGCCATGTCCGTTTTGCGGAAAGTTCAGGACAAAGTTAACTGAACATATTAAAAAGAAGCATAAAAATGAAAAAGATGTTCAAGAAGCCATGTCATTACCTACGCAAGAAAGAAATGAAAAGTTTTCTCTATTTAAAAAAGCTGGTATTTTTAGGGAGAATATAAAAATTATGAGAAACAGTGATAGAACCCACTCAGCTAAACTTATTCCTGAACGCCGTCATCAACAGAAACAATTAGTAACATGCTTATCTTGTAAGGCATTTTTGTCAAAAGAACAATTTTATAAGCATAAGAAGCTGTGTAATAAGTTTTCCTGTACAAGACCATCTCCGAATTGTGTTAATTCATATCACCTTGCAAAGTCTGGTAACAATGAAATAAAAAATCTATATGCAAGTGAAATAATAGACCGATTTCATGATGATGAGGTTGGAAAAATCTGTAAAAATAATGAAGAAATAGGAAAATATGGATTCAAGAAATTTATTTCTTATGGGGTCAACAATGCAAAGAAGGATGAGAAAAGGAAAAGCACTATGTCAACAATGCGACAGATTGCAAGGTTATATTTGGAAGTAAAAGAGTACATGAAAAACCATTCTCTTCAGAATGAAATAAGTGTGAAGGACATGTTTACAAGAAGAAACATGAAATATATTAAAGAAGTCATACATGAAAGGAAACAGGTAACAACAGTAGATTCTCAGCTGTTTTTAGGAAATTCAATAAAAAAGTTTGTAAGGTTTTTGTATGACCAAATGACAAATGAAGGCCTTGATGCAGATGCTGTTGAAGCAGACAGATTTTTAACCAGTTTAAGATATAACTGGTCAGAGCTATTTGGAGAATCTGAATATCATGTTATAACAAAAAGAATAGAAACCAGAAAACCATCTGCATTACCAAATGAAAAAGACCTTAAATTGTTGACACAGTATGTAAAAGCACAATTAAAGAAACTCTCGGAGGATTCATACACATTTATAGCAGAGGAAGAGTTTACTGTCTTGCGTAACCTTTTAGTGACTAGACTGACATTATTTAATGCCAGACGAGGAGGTGAACCAAGTCGTCTTACAATCAATCAATGGTTAGAAGCAAAAAATGATGTTTGGAAGCAAAATTTCAATGTTGACAGTCTTGAGAACTCAGATGATGTTGACTTGATGACAAATTACAAAGTTTCTTACCAACCTGGAAAAAATGACGGAAAATTGGTTCCTGTTATGTACCCAGATGATTGTCATAATGCTCTAAACATTTTATGTAACCCTGATATCCGAAAAGATGCTGGAGTGAGCAAAAACAATGCCTTTCTTTTTCCACGTACAAATCACTCTGAACGACATTGTATAGGGAGTGACTGTATCAGATCAGTTTGTTTGAAGGCTGGAATTTCTTCAATTACTGCTACTAAAGTAAGACACAGGGCAGCCACTTTACACGCATCACAGGATACTACAGAACATGAAAAAGAAGCATTCTTCAAACACATGGGTCATAGTGACAAGATAAACAAAAATGTTTATCAATGCCCTCCAGCTGTTACAGAAGTGACAAAAGTTGGAAAATTTTTCAGAAAATTAGATGAAGGTATCAGTTTTTTGATAATTATTTGATAACCTGTAGAGAATGTGTTTTTTTCATAAGCTTGCCTTGTTTGTTTCTGTCGACAATTTCTTTAATCAACATCTCTTAAACAATCAGATTTTCACCAAACAGGAATAATCCTTAGATGATTTGTAAAGGTCCATGTCTGAAGCATAACAAGTTCATAATACTGAAACACTTAAAGAATAAAAGCATCACCATAGGATCCTCAACATGCAGGAAATATTTAAATCTTTATGTTAAAAATTGCATGGAAGTTGAAGAATTGCCTAGTTGAACTCTACAAAAGTCATATAAATGGTTCCAATATGATGCATAAGGTCTTAAGAGCAGAAATTATATATTAAAATAAAATCTTTAAAAATCTACTTATTATGAATCACAAAATGAATTTTGCTTAAAAGTTAAATGCTTAGATATTTGGCATGTTGCATAAATGAGGTTCTTTACAAAAGTATCATGCAAATCATGTCCCTAGGGGTCAAATTTCTCCCCTCCACACATTGCCTGGTTTATATAGACTTTAATAGGTATTCATGAGAACTACAAAGCCCAGAGCTGTGATATTTTATATTGCCTAGAAGTCTTCTACAAAGTTTTTCAAATCGTTCCAGTCTTATGCAGTCTTATTAAAATAGTAGGTCACAAGAGCTAAAATTATACTTTAAACATGAAGACTCTTGTTCAGAGAATAACTTGAAAGTGTTAAAGGAATTTGATTTAAACTTTTCAAAGTGATAAAACATATTGGCAGGAAGTGCATTGGCCAACAATCATAACTGCCTGTTTAATGCTCAATATCAGACCTCAGGCTCTAATCTATTTCAGACTTGGAAAAGGATATAGATGACAATTCATTCCATTCATTACACGAGTTGCAGACACCTTCAGCTAGCACAGATAGAGAGACTTCTACTTTAAAAGGTACATTTGTAGAGCTACTTAAAGTTGTATAATAGAAATAAACATGTCTTAAAATCTTCTTTGTCAAAATTACAATGATCAGATCAAATATATATTGTGGCATATAGCATCAGCTTTTGGTCCATTATAAAAGTAAAAATCATAAAGAAATACCAAGACTTTCAGATAGCACTAAGTTTCTTTGATGTGGAGAAGGAAAATATACCTCAAACACAATGACAGAAATATTGAAAACTGCAAACTAGGTTTGATTCACTGTATACATTGGGTGCAAGTTTAATTTTTGCCCCCTCGAATTTTGTTAAGTTACACCTGCACCTTATAAGCACATTGTAGAAAAAACATGATGAAGAAATTCCCACTTTTATCCTATCTTCTTCCTCTTAATGTTGAAGCTTATATGGGTTATAAACTCCTATAGTGCAGGGTTTTCATTATTATCAGATTGATAATCTTGGTTGAAATGCTGTTAAAAGCAGTTGTAGTTCAGCCTGTAGATTAAAATATCCTTTTGATCTTAAGCCAAAGATACATCTGTTTCTTCAGATAAAAATGAAAACCCTGATAGTGTAAACATATAGAATATATAATTGTTTGTTTTCATGTGAGATGGAAAAATATTTCACCGAATGAACACCAGATGCAATATTTTCAGGAGTGGCATTTTCTACAAATGATATATATTTCAATCTTACATGTAAAACATATTTTCTATTTATTTCAATAATTTGATTTTGTGTCATTTCTTAATGATTTTGCTGTGTAACATCACGCATTCATCTTTATGATGTCATGATATAATGACCTCACATTAACAATGTTGAAAAATAGTTCTGCAAAATTCCTCGAGTTTTTTCACATTTCTAATATGATGTACTCTGATTTTGACTTGCTTTTACCAAAGAAGCAAAATTTACATACAACAGAATTTATTCCTGTCAATAAATCCATTTAAAAAATAGTTATTATGTATTCTTTTTATCCACATTCAAATATAGTTGAGCTACAGTAAAATTATATTTTATAATTTCACTGTGAAAATTGTAAAATATACATGTAATTTCACTTTCCATTCCAAGGCATGTAATAATATTCAATAAATGTCACCAATATCTTCTAATCATTTGCATTGCCAGTTCTGGTCAAGTGAGTTTAAAAAGTCATATTCTATCAATGAGGACTATATTTTCATTTAAATTATAACACCCATCAATGCATCTAAAAGGAAATAAAATTTTCCTAAGTGCTTTTAATTAATTGAAAAAAAATATGATCATGTGTATATCCTTAAACACAAAAAAATTATCAATGTCAACATCATCAAAATCAGTATTTTGTAAATGATAATCTGTATAAAAAAATTTTTTTTTGCAGGTTAAATCTTTGTTAATAGGGTAAACCTCTCAATATAGGAATAATTATATCCCCACTAAACATATATTGGAATAACTTTGTCCTGTCTTGTCTCATCTCAGAAACTAGTAGAGATCCCAACACTATATTAAAATGCAACTATCTATTCATGAATGTCAAGTTTATAGCTCATATAATTAGTTTGACAGACTTTTGCCTATTTTTTAAGTTTGACAGAATTTTGCCTATCTTTTAAAGTGTCATTATGCTCACATTTTCATTGTCAAGTTGATCTGAATTAACTACATACATGTATTTCAAAGTTTGACTGTAATAATTGTGATTGACTATTAGTAGATATTGGAATATGTTTAGGTTAAAATATAGATATCCCTAGAATAATAAAAGACTGCCACACAATTTTTTATAAATTGAACATTACAGATACATTTTGATGGCTATATATAGAAATTTTCATGGGTCACTTAGGCTATTTATCATTCATGCTTTATTAGTCCCCTACCGGTGTACCGGAGGGGACTTTAGGTTTACCCTCCGTCCGTCTGTCCGTCAGTCCATCCGTCCACAAAAATGGATCCCGCGATAACGCAAAAAGTACTGAAAATATTTTTATGAAACTTGATATATAGATAGATGGCAGTATGGAGATTATGCACGTCTTTTTCTTTTCTTCCTATGTTGAAAATTCTGGTTGCTATGGCAACAAATAGCCTGAAAATATGGCAAATTTTACACATAACCTGGATCCAGTGATAACGCAAAAAGTACTGGAAATATTTTTATGAAACTTGAAATATGGAAATATGGGTAGATGGCAGTCTGGAGATTATGCACATTCTTTTTTTTTCTTCCTATTCTGGTTGCTATGGCAACAAATAGACTGAATTTCAAGATTTCTGATTCTAGTTTTTATGTTTTTTCACTATAAGTTCTTTATTTCTTCAGAGATTTTCTTCATAGTTTAAATATAAGTTTCTAGTCATCAACATAATGTGACAAGGTTTATAACTCTAGCACAAAATTTATCAAAATTTTCTCCCTTGAACTTAGAATTTTTATGAAAAAAATATTGCTTTTTTTTTTCTGAATGTATCTACTTCAAACTTCATAAATATGTTTCTTATTATCACTCAACATTTGTGTGAAAGTTCAATACTCTAGCAAAACTATTTCCAGAATTATGCCCCTTTTGAACATAGACTTTTTTCGAGAAATTGGTAATTTTTACTCCAACTTCATCAATCATAATAGGATTTTCTTCAAACTCCCACATCATAATAATATGACAAGGTTTATAAAACCAGCATTCATATTTCCAGAAATATCTCCTCCTTAAACTTTGAATTTTTTTATTCATTCTTTTTACTTTCTTTTACTTCAAATTCAAAATAAACATTCATTATCAACACCTTCATTACTAATTGTTCTTTGTTACACTCACATCATGTATGACGTCTTGCATCTTTATTTCAAGAGTTATCTCCTTTTTAAGAATTTTGCTTTTAAAAATGTTATATTTTGATGACAGGGATGTTCAAAAAATAACTTTAGAGTGTCCTTCAGTCTGTCTGTTTGTCTGTTCATAAAAACTGTTTCCTGTGATCACTTTTAAAGAACTTTTTCGACAAATTTACTTAAAATAGAAACATAAGTGAATGGCCAATGGCCCTTCAGAATGTTGCTGGGGTTCTAACCGGTAGGGGACTTATGGATTGCTTGCAATACTGTGATAATTGCTTGTTAGTTATGAATTAGAAAGGAATTATTGCAAAATCTAAACATATTTTGACCTTAACTTGTTTACCCAATATCTTTGTAAATAGTGAATGAAATGTCTTCATACTTGGACACAACAATCATCTGGCATGTTCTTTCAAGCTGACCAAATTGACCCTTACCTAGAGTCATAAATGACCTTGACCTTGAAAGTCACATAACTGAAAATAATATGCTTATTTTGTGTGGTAACATGGAGAGGGGGGGGGGGGGGCTATACTGGAATACCTTGGTTGCATCAGTCAGTCTGTCAGTTCTTTCATCTGTCCATCTCCATCATGTCCCATGTATAAATCCTATACCCTTTGAAGGATTTTCTTCAAACTTGGCTCAAATGTTCCCCTCTACAAGGCAGTGTGCAGAAATCATGTGACGGCTTTGTTGGATCAAGGTCACATTGGAGGTCAAAGGTCCAATATCAGACCCCCATGTCACCACTGCAGGCTCAATGTCACAGTCACATTTGAGATCAAAGGTCAAATACTGTATAAGTGGTTATTTTGCGACTTGGAAATATTTGCGATTTTTGCGAATTGATATTTTTTGCAAACATTTGATCGCGCAAAAATTATGTCTGCTTTAGGCAAACTATCTTTTATAATTTTTAACACAATTTTATCAAGCATTTTACATGGATATGTTTAACTGTTTAGATTGTTTTTATTGCTTGTTTGGTTAAGTTTGTTATTGACAAATCACAATTTTGAAATATAACAAATATATGTGTCAATAACACAATAGGCTATTAATAAGACAAAAGAATGTTTTAGAATAGTATAAATAATTGTGCCTTTAGGTCATTTATCGACCAACAAATATTTCTTGAAACAATTTAAAACAAACATATCAAACAAACAATAATAACTGAATAAATGAAACGATAATAATATTGGCGAACTCATATTTTTTACCTGCGTAATTTCTGATATCACAAACAACAGTATTAGATAATTCAAGAAATCATATTTTCGCAAATATTTTTACACGCAAAAAGTCCACTTTTTGGCATTCGCAAAATTTTTGTGACACAAAAATATCCACTTAAACAGTATCAAACAATTTTGTGTCCACCCTGGAAATCTTATACCCCTCAAAGGATATTCATCAAACTTGGCTGAAATATTAACCTTAACAAGACAATTTGCAGAAACTATGTCACAGCTCTGCTGACTGAAGGTCAATGTCACAATTTTAGGTTGAAGGTTGACTATCAGACAATTTTATGGCTCTTCTATAAATCCTTTACCAGCTGAAGGATTTTCTTCAAACTTTGTTCAAATGTTCATTTTAACAAGGTGTTAAGCAGTAATCATTCAAAGTTGTGCTAGCTTAAGGTGACCCTCAGAGGTCAAAGGTCAGATATCAAACAATCAACTTATAAATCCTGCATCCCTTAAATGATTTTCTTTTAACTTTAATCAAATTTTAACCTAAACATGGCAATGTGCAGAACCTAAGTCACGGCTACATTTGAGGTCAAAGATCAACTCTCAAACAATATCTTGTCCACTCTGTAAATCTAATTCCGCTTGAAGAATTTTCTTTGGACTTGGCTGAAATGAAGAAGACTTTGTGTCACTGCTCTGCTGTCTCTAGGTCAGGGTCTCTATTTTTGGGTCAAAGGTTAACTATTAGACAATTTTCTGAAGGATTTCTTCAAACTTTGCACAAATGTTTATATCAACAAGGTGTTATGCAGAACTCATACAACTCTGCGCTGATTTAAGGTCAAAGTCACCCTTAAAGGTTAAATGTCAATTATTTCATCCTCCTGATGGATTTTCTTTAAACTTGGATCAAATGTTAACCCATACATGGCAATTTGTAGAACTCATGTCACAGCTTTGCTGGTTTAAGTTAAAGGATACCCATGGAGTTCAAAGGTCAAATGTCAAACAATTACCTTAAATCCTCCTTTTCTTGAATGATTTTCCTCAAACTTAACTAAATTGTTCACCCTAAGAAGGTAATGTGCAGAACCCATGAAACATCCTTAAAGGTCAGCAGACATCATTGAAATATGCCATTTTTACTTTGATAAGCTTGTTTTTCATAAATTTCAGTAAAAACACCAATAATTGCCTCAGTGCAATTGTTAAAAAATATTTATTACACTGATTTCAGAGATTCTACCTGTTATGCAAGTGCATTCTCAAACTGGAAGTGACATACATTTATCCCTTTATTATTGCGCCTCGGGTCATATGTATCTCATCCAGGCTATATTGTCCCATATATCTCATCAGCAACCTATATATATCTAATGATGTTTGTAAATATTGCAATATATCGCAATATGATTTTTCTTTACAATACCCAGTCCTAAAGTATTGCCATGTTTCTAAAAACAGCTGGAGACTTCATAGGTGAACCCTTAAGTCCCATAATAAATCTAAGTATCAAAAATAAAAAGTAACACCAATCTACAAAAATATTTGAAAAACATAAATCAGACCACTTAGAACACATTTTAGAAAGAAACAATTTACTCTATGCTGCACAGTCAGGTTTCAGGGCACTTAATTTATTTACTGGATAATTGCACTAAATATTGGCAAACTTGTAAGAGCTGTTTTTCTGGACTTATCAAAGGTATCACAATGTTCCCATTGAAAAGAACTATCTTTCTGTCATCTTTAATCATATCTGTCAGGTAGGTCACTAAAAGTAACTGTGTCTGTAATTTTTCTGAAATAGACTTGCAAATTTATACTTCATACATAGCTGCTAGTGAAATTTAGGCAACAAATTATCTTTAGTACATTGTTTTGACATATTTTGTCTCAGCTGGAGAGTTGTGTAATTATGCTCCCCAAAAAAATTTTTCGGGGGAGCATATAGTCGCCGGGTTGTCCGTCCGTCCGTCCGTCCGTCCGTACGTACGTACGTACGTCCCGAATTCGTGTCCGGCTCATAACTTCGTTTCTTGAAGTCGGATTTTAAAAATATTTCACAGAAATGATCACCATATTGAGACGACGTGTCGCGCACAACATTTGGGTCGCTACCTTGAAGGTCAAGGTCACAGCATGACCTTGCAGCATAATCATGTCTGGCCCATAACTTTGTTATTTGAAGTCGGATTTTACAACTATTTCACAGAAATGATCAACATATTGAGACGAAGTGTCACAAGCAACATTTGGGTGGCTACTTTCAAGGTCAAGGTCACAGCATGACCTTGCAACAAAATCATGTCCAGCCCATAACTTCGTTATTTGAAGTCAGATTTAACAACTATTTCACAGAAATGATCACCATATTGAGTTGACGTGTGCCGCACAACATTTGGGTCACTACCTTGAAGGTCAAGGTCACAGCATGACCTTGCAGCAAAATCATGTCCGGCCCATAACTTTGTTATTTGAAGTCGGATTTTACAACTATTTCACAGAAATGATCAACATATTGAGACGAAGTGTCACAAGCAACATTTGGGTGGCTACCTTCAAGGTCAAGGTCACAGCATGACCTTGCAACAAAATCATGTCCAGCCCATAACTTCGTTATTTGAAGTCAGATTTAACAACTATTTCACAGAAATGATCACCATATTGAGTTGACGTGTCCGGCACAACATTTGGGTCACTACCTTGAAGGTCAAGGTCACAGCATGACCTTGCAGCAAAATAGTGTCCGGCCAATAACTTTTTTATTTGAAGTCGGATTTTACAACTATTTCACAGAAATAATCACCATATTGAGACAATGTGTCATGTGCAACATTTGGGTCACTACCATTCTCAAAATTCACCTCAATAGTTATACAACTAACCTTTCCTTGTGACAAAGTACCCATTCGGGGAGCATCACCCATCTTTGATGGTCTCGTTTATGTCTTTTGAGCTAACCTTGTGCTTAGAGATGAGTTTGTGATGGCACTTTGTCTGTTGTTTGTTGTTTACTAATTTACAAAAAGTATCAAAAAGAGATTTCTTATATTTAGTAAACATGTCATATTAAAAAAAGATATTTTGCATGTAACATCACCTTGTGGTTCTCAATAAAGTTATACAATGTCCTGAAGGTCCAAATTAGTTCATCCACAAGGTCATTCAGTTTTTATATCAAAACATATTTAAGTCTACTTACTTTTCGTTAATTAATGGTGGCCTTGTCTCAGATGAATTATTATGGTTTATCATTGCCCATCTTGTTCCATTGACAGAGATGATTGTTATATGTCATTTTGTGCATTGTGCATCTGGTTATATTCCACTTTTTTTTCCTTGCTCCGAATAATTTTTATTGAAAAGAAAGATAAAATTTCATTTCCTATATTAAATACATTTTCAGAATTCCTTTATAAGATGGCAGACTCTTATGCAGTAGAAAGGGTTTTGGAAAATAGCACAGAACTTATTACAGAGGAGGAGGTTGAAACAGTTCCTGAAAAATTGATTGGTATCAAGGTGACTGAAGCGAACATGAATGCTGCAAGACCATTATTCACAGATGATGCTTGGCTTGTTGTTAAAACATCACTAGGTATAAAGTTATTAAGAAGCATCATTTGCCTTAATCCCTTCCTGTAAAGGAATGGCCTACTCTGTTAGTCTGTCTCTTAGTCGGTCTGTCTTTAACTTTTTATGCCCCTAAGGGCAGCTTTTTAAATTCACACTGTTTGTGCATCCCAACTTATATAACATTCATGTCTACATGCATTAAAGAATTTTAAAATAGTTTGGCACAAATGTCTTTCACATCAAGACTATGTGTTGTGTCTAAGACCCATGTCCCTAGCTCAAGGGTCAAGGTCACACAGTTTAAAGGTTTACATTCTCACATTAAGAATTTAAAGAGATACACAATTGAGTCCCAACTGTAACTTTGTCATGAGTGGAAGGATTTTTGAATAACATAGCATATATGTCTACCGTATCAAGAAGATGTGTCATTTGCAAGATCAATATCCCTACCTCCAAAGTCAAGATCACATTACATAAAGTTTGAAGTTTCTCATTCTCACAAGAAGATTTTGAAGGTACACATTTTTGTAATTCTATCATTTATGGAAGGATTATCAAATAACTTGGCACAAATGTCACCCACATCGAGATGATGTTTTGCATTTAAGGCCAATGTCTCTACCTAAAGGTCAAGTCACACTTAGAGATTGAAGGTTTACATTCCTTTCCAGACAGTAACTTTGTCATGCATTAAAGGATTTTAAGATAACTTGGCATAAAATTATACCTTATCAAGACTATGTGTTGTGTCTGTCTGTCTGTCTGTCTGAAGTGTTTTAAAATAATTTCGCATAAAGTTCTACTACATCCAGATGACATGTGTTGCAACGAAGACCCATGTCCCTACCTAAAAGGTCAAGGTCACACAGTTTGAAGGTTCACCTTCTTCAAATAAGAGTTTAAAGCTGCATACATTTGTGTGCAGACTGTAACTTTGTCATGCATGGAAGGATATTTTAACCACAAAGCATATATGTCTTCAACATCAAAAGGATGTGTTAATCAAAGATCCAGTTCCTTCCTCTAAGGTCAAGGTCACAATTATTATTTGAAAGCACTCATTCTCACAAGAAGAGTTTGAAGGTACACATTCTTGTCTGGACTGTATCTTTGCCATGCATCAAAGGATTTTAAAATAGCATGGCACAAATGTCTATTACATCAAAAAAAATGAGTCACTTCTATGGCTGATGTCATTACCTTAAAGGTCAATTTCACACTCAGAGGTTGAATGTGAACAATTGTGTCCAGATTGTTACTTTGTCATGCATTGAAGAATTTTAAAATAACTTATCATAAATGTCTACCACATCAAGACAATGTGTAGCATCTAAGTTCCATGTCCCTGTCTCCGAGGTCAAGGTCTAACTTAAAGTTTAAAGGTACTCATTCTCCCAAGAAGGTTATATACCGCCCTGGAAAAGAATTTTGTCATGTAGTAAGTTTGCTATGAATAGCACTTCATTTCATAAAAACAATATTAATCAATAAGTATCTTTTATTCCTTTTTCTTATCATATTAACTTTCTGCAATACTTTCGGCAACATTCCTCAATACTACGTGACAGGTCTTCTTCATGTCTTTACCATAGTCATTAAAGTATTGTTTTTAGCTCACTTGAGCACTCTATGCTCAGAGGTTAGCTTTTGTGATGGTACTTTGTTCATTGTCTGCCATTCATCGTAGTTCACAATTTCTTTAAACAACATCTCCTCATTAACTACATAGTGAATTTTGGCCAATCTTTACAAGATTGATTCCCAAATGAAAAAAATACCTTCTAGTGACATAAATAGGTTTAATATGTAAATAATTCAAGTATGTGATTTTTAAAACATATTCTCACTAAATATATTTCTTAAGTCATTATCCTGTACCAATATATATTAACACAATTTGATATCCTCCGACTTTTTTGCAATCAGATAAATATTGTATGTTGATTAGTTGAATTGAAATTTGGTAATATTTTGAACAAATCAAAAGAAGGAAAAAAAATGGTATGGCAATTAAACAGATATCAAACATAATCTGTGATAGATTTTTGTTCCTTACATATTGTCTTGAAGAGTTATCTGAGAAAACCCGACCACTGAGAAAACCAGAAAAAAAACCTCTGTTCAACATCCATCCGGTTTTCTCATCTTTCGCTGTATCTTAAAGTTGTACCTATATGAAATTTACAATGAATTATATCTTTTTTCATAAAGAATAAACATACAGCCTTGTATATTAACATATGCATTTTGGTATATTTCAGACTTGTAAACCATTGAAAAACCTTGTAAATTTGTTTTATATTTACAGACTGCCTAGCCAAAGATCTTGGAAAGAACCATGATGAGGCACTGGTAATATATTTTGTATATATAATATATTTTGTCATGTATTAAATTAATGTGTTTGTAACACGTTTTAAATTAAGGATTCCTATTTCTTATACTAAATTAAGTTTCTGTTTATTTTTTAAAATTCTAGAAAGAGGATATTTCTTAAGAACTCTGAAGTAAGCTATTAGTAAGGTAAAAATCAGTTTGATTGAGTTTGTTGATTTAAGTTTATGTATGAAATGTGCAACATCTCTCATGCCCATATCATTGACTTCAAGCTGTAATACTATTCAATCCTCAACACTCAAAGTATTGGAATTTACACTGGAATGATGTACAGGCAGCTTTATACGGGTTCTAGTCACTGCACTTAACAGTTTGAAAATTCTGTAAAGGGAAGATTTCTCAAGAGTGCCAATGGCAATAGTCTTATTAAGTTAAAAATCTCGAAATTGGTGGTTATGAGAGATTATATGAAATGTGCACATCTTTATGTACCCCTTAAAGTGCCAAAAATGTTCACTTTAAAAAGTCATGTGATAGAACCATTTGTCTGTCTGTCTGTCCATCCTTATTAACACAGAGGTACTTGTGTGACTAGGAGAACAATAGGTAAAAGTACATTTGCTTTGATCCTTTTCATTCCATTTTTGTGCGCTCTTTTATCAAACAGGTTGTATTATGGGAACGTCCCTGGCGGGCGTAAGGGCGGGTTGGGTGTCGGCGTCCTTTTTCTGTCCGGAGTATATCTCCTTAATGCATGGAGGGATTTTTTATTATAGCTTTATAGAAATGTTGACCACTACGAGAACCTATGTTACGTGCATAAACCAGGTCTGTAGGTCAGAGGTGAAGGACACACTTAGAGGTCATTGAAAAATGCTTGTCCAGAGCAAAACTTCTTCATGCATCAATGGATTCCAATTTAACTTGACATAAATGTTCACCATTGTGAGGCATAGTGTTGTGCACAAAATTCAGGTCCCTGTGGCAAAAGTCAAGGACACACAGGGTCAAAGTTCAGGTAGAAATAAAAATGTGTATATGGACCATTTAGTCATCATTTATTGAGGGATTCCAATACTAATGGACATAATCATGACCACGTCTGTGACACTTTCAATTTAGGTCAATAATTGCAAGTTCAAAGTCATTGAAGATGATGAAATGTCCAGATTCTATCCAGAGCATATCTCCTACAGTCATGGAGGGATTTTAATAAAACTTCATAGAAATGTTCAACACTTAGAGAAGCTATGTCATGGGCATAAACCAGGTCTCTAGGTCAAAGGTTAGGGTCGCACTTAGAGGTCATTGTTTTGTCCAGAGCATAACTTCTTCATGCATAACTGGATTTCAATGTAACTTAGCATAAATGTTCACAATTGTGAGTCCATGTGTTGAGTGTAAAATTCAATTCCCTGTGGCAAAAGTCAAGGTCACACATAGGGTTCAAAGTTCAGATAAAAATATGAAAATGTATATAGAGACCATTTAGTCAACATTTATTGTAACACAAATTGTCATTTTCTTGATTAAATCTGTGACACTTGTGATTTAGGTCAATAATTGCAAGGTCAAGGTCACTGAGGATGATGAAATGTCCAGATTTTGTTGGGAGGATATCTCCTACACACATGAAGGGATTTTAATAAAACTTCATAGAAATGTTAACCACTATGAGAAGCCATTAAATGTGCATGAACTTAGTCTCTTGGTCAAAGGTCAATGTCTTATTCAAAGGTTCCTGAAAAACACTTGTCTGGAGCAAAACTTCTACATTTTTATACTACTTTTAGGAAATGTTCACCACTATGAATTGATTGCTCCATGCATGATCAAGGTCAAAGGTCAAGGTCATACTAAGAGTTGATTGCCATTTATCTCCATAATGCCCACATTTCCATCAACAGCTTTTGTGACAGGTGTGTATTGCAACAATGTTGCCCTTGTTACTTGTATGTCCTTCTTTAGCTTACCTGAGCACAATGTGCTCGTAATGAGCTATTGTGATGGTCCAGTGTCCGTGGAGTTTCAAAAAGACAAAAGAGTTTTCAAAAAAACCTTCTTGTCTGAAAGTTCATAGCCAAGAGCATTGATATTTGGTATATGATATCATCTATAGGTCCTCAACCAAAGTTGATCAAATTTTGTCCCTATTGTCAAAGTTAGCCCAGCCCCCGGGGTCATAGGTTTTTCCTTATATGTATTGAGTGAAACCTTAAAAAAATGTCTTCTCTGAATTGGCAAAGGCTGGGGATAAGATATTACATGCATGGTACATAGTGTAGTAGACCTATACCCAGATTGTTCAAATTATTGCCCTGGAGTCAAAATTGATCACGCCCAAGAGTCATTGATTTTCAATATATTCATATAGTAAAAACTTTAGTAAAAAAAAATTGCTAGTCTGAAAGTACATGGCCCAGAGGTTTTATATTTGGTATATGATATTATCTATAGATCCTCCACCGAAGTTGTTCAAATTTTGTCCCTAGTGTCAAATTTTGCTGCACCCCAGGGGTCATAGGTTTTTTTTTATATATATAGTAAAATCTTAAAAAACTTCTGTGAATTGGCAAAGGCTAGAGGTTAGATATTTGGCAAGACACATTGTGTAGTAATTTTCAACTTTTGTCCCTAGTGTCAAAATTGGCCCAGATCTGGGGGGATCATAAGTTTTCCCTTTTATTTATATAGTAAAACCTTAAAAAATCTTCTTCCCTGAATTAGCAAAGGCTAGAGGTTAGATATTTGGCATGTTACATTGTAGGGTATACCTCTACCAAGATTGATCAAATATTGCCCTAGTGCACCATCTCGGGGGGTCATTGATTTTCATTATGTACATTCAGTAAAAACTTGAAAAATCTTCTACTCGTCTTGAAGATCATGGCCCAGAGCTTTGATATTTGGAACATGATATCATCTATAGTCCTCTACCATAGTTGTTCAAATTTTGTGCTAGTGTCAAAATAAGCCCCGCCCAGGGGGGATCATAGGTTTTTTCTTACATGTATAAAGTAAAACCTTAACAATTTTTTTCTCTGAATTGGCAAAGGTAACAGGTTGGATATTTGGCATAAAAATTGTTTTGTAAACCTCCACCAATATTATTCAAATAATTGCCCTGGGGTCAAAATTGGCCCCACCCTAAGGATAACTTGATTTATAAAGACTTGTATAAGACTAGTGTTTATGGTCACTCATTTCAATACTAATTAACCTGTAACAATTGAACTTTATATGTGGATACACCTTGATGTGTTCTACTTACCACACCCATTTTCCTGTCAAAAGGTCAACGTCACTGGGACATGATATATCAAAAGATTCAAAGGAACATAAAGTGAAAGTACATATAACATGCGTATACTTTGTATGTGGATGCATCTTTATATCTAATCCTAAGGTGAGCACTTTGTGGTATCGCTCCCTTGTTGGTCTTGTGTGACTAAAAAATTCAAAGGAAAAGTCACATATGCACCATTTTGTAAGTACATCCATCTGTCCGTACAAGGTTAACCTAAAATGGCAAGTTTTTTATGCCACCAATATATAGCAATTCCTGTATGTGTGTGTGCAAGCGTGTGTTCATTATATAGATTTTATATTGAACTTAAAAAATCTTCTTGTTAAAAAACGAACTTGCCAGGATTGTTCCTTGAGTGAAGGGCTTCTACAGTTGTTTTAATGCCAAAATCTGGTTGCAATGGCAAACAAAATGAATAAATAGAAGAAATTTAAAAAATGTTCCTCTCAAGAACCAGAAGACCTAGAATAAAGGTATTTTGCACAAGGCATTGTCTTGTAGGCCTCTACCAAAATGGTTCAAATTATAACCCTGGGGTCAAAATTTGCTTCACACCCAGGGGTCATGTGTTTTCCTTATATATGTATATAGTAAATATTAAAATAATCTCCTATTCTTGAAGATTACAAAGGCAAAAGCAAAGATCTTTGGCATGAAAGGTCAACTTGTTGGTCTTTGGGTCAAAATTGGCCCCACAGTGTTGTATAATGCAGTGTCATAGCATTTTTCACTAAAATGCAGTCTTGTTTTAAGTTATACTGGTACCAGTGGCTCCATAATTTACTCACTTACTAATCAATACAAAGTACATGATGTAATTTTGTTACATGACTGATGCCATTATTTTACCCAAGTCATGGCTTTTTTCAGTATTTGATAATGGATATGGTTAGCCTACACCAGCAAGTTCAATTTAATGTAATTTCTATCTGTAATTATGACTTTATAATTTCCATACTTATCTATCAGTACAAAGTCCATAATATTGCCAAGTTATATAACTGTGCCGTCCATTTTTTCTCAGTTATTTCCCTTTTAATCACTGAAAATAGGGCATGGTGTGTAACTTATTTTGTCAAGTTGAATTTATCTGAAATTTCTCCTGATTACCTTATTTACATAAAGTTATCTTCAATATTTGGTATGTGGATACCATTGAATTAATCACACTGGGTAAACAGAATCACTGTATGATCTTTTGAAGATCTATACAATTCAATGTGCATGATTTGTTGGGAGCACAAGCACATGCCACTTCAGGTGACTGTATGATTTATTGCATGTTTATCTAATTCAAGGTGTATGATTTTTTGTGAGCACAGGAAGTAGAAGCGTTTACTCCCTCTAAATTATTGTGGAATAATGTCACTGGGGTCAAAGTCAAGGTAGCTGGTATAAAAAATAAATGTTTACATTTTTGCTCACAATTTATTTTTGAATTAATGTCTTTCATGTTTAATATGGACATGTCTAGGGAGTTCCTCTTCCTTTTGGTTTAGCTAGGGGTCATTTCGGTTAATGTCAAGGTCACCACTTCAAATATTTTCAAAGTCCATTGACATATGGCTTTGAAACTTTTTACACCTGTTCACCATCATGCAGCCAACCTTTAGACAGGAGGAGGTAACTCTATCAAGCATTTTGACAGAATTATGCCCCTTTTTCGACTTAGGATTTACATTAAAGTTTGCGTACCACCTCATATATTTTCAAAGTCCATTGACATATGGTTTGAAACTTTGCACACATGTTCACCATCATGCCTTTAAGCTTTAGACATGAGGAGGTAACTATATCAAGTTTTTTGACAGAATTGTGCCCCTTTTTTGACTTAAAATTAAATTTAAAGTTTGCGTACCACCTTAAATATTTCAAAGTCTATTGAAAAAAGGCTTTGAAACTTTTTACTCTTGTTCACCATCATGCCTCCAACCTTTATACATGAGGAGGTAACGCTATCAAGCATTTTGACTTAGAATTTATGTTAAAGTTTGCATACCACCTCAAATGCTTTCGAAGTCCTGGTGATTGACATGTAGCTTTGAAACTTATTACACTAGTTCACCTTTATGCCCCAACCTTTAGACATGAGGAGGTAACTCTATCAAGCATTTTTTATCAAGGCTTTTTTACTATCAAGCACTAAGAAAAGTCGAGCATGCTGTCGTACCGACAGCTCTTGTTTGTACACCCAAAGGGCATATTATGTTATATCCCCTGGCGTCCGTCCGTCTGTCTGTCTGTCCATCGGTCTGTTAGCAATTTGTTTTCCGGAGCATAACACAATATTCAAATGCAAAGAATGTCCATATTGGGTAGAAGACCCCTATTGATTTTGGGGTCACAAGGTCAAAGATCAAGGTCACTATTACCTTAAAACTGAAAACAGTTTCCGCTCAATAACTCAAGTATTAATCAACCTGCAGCTGTAAAACTTTAAAGGATGAACAGTCATGTCCAATACATGACCCCTATTGATTTTAGGGTCATAAGGTCATTAGGTCAGGGTCACAATGACCTTTACACTGAAAATTTTTGTTTCTGGAGAATAAGTTCCATTTGGCCCACAATATTCAAACTTCATAGGATGATTGTCCATATTGGGTAGAAGACGCCTATTGATTTTGGGGTCACAAGGTCAAAGGTGAAGGTCACGATTAACTTAAAACTGAAAACAGTTTCCGCTCAATAACTTAACTATTAATTAACCTAGAGCTGTAGAATTTTACAGGATGAACAGCCAAGTCCATATCTCCTTTTGTGACAATGTTGCCCTTGTTAACTCGTGTACTCCACTGTCCTACTAAACAGTTGATGTCCCAATGATGCAAAAAGTGTGGCTTTCTTTTAAATTGTCATAGTTTTGATGCTTTAAGATTCCTTTTGTTTTAAATGACAAAAAATCTCTGTGACAAGCACTTAATTTATGACCCTGATGTGTATATGTATTTAAGTTTACTATACCCAACACAGGTCACCCACATGGGCGAGTCCTCCAGAAGTCTGTTAGTAATTTGTTAGGAAGGATAGTGCATGAATATGGAAGATGCCCCAATTCCAGGGGCTTCCCTGGTTCTTTCACTTGTAAGGTGTAAAGCACCATTGCATTGGACATCTATTTTAAGTCTCATCTGAAAGACTGTTAGTAAGCAAAGAGGTAAGCCAAAAAATCATCTTTCTTGTTTGGCCTCATATCACCTAAATTGTGTTTGTGCTCTGCAAAACCATACCAAATAAAAAAACATCTTGTATAAATATATCACAACAAAAAATGTTTAAAACACTCGATACCATGATACCATGTTAAAAACTAATATATTCTTTCAGATTCATCAGTGTAAACTGCAAAAGAGTGATGTAAAAGACAGTGAGAGAAACATTGAAATAAAGTTTGACAACAGATCTGATAATGGTAATTATAATTAACTATGATCATTTCTAAGAAATGATATATTTCTATAATGATTTTTCTATTAGTCAGAGTTTCAATTCCTTCCTCTTGTTTATAGAAAACCTGTAGTATGTATAATAAGTATTACACAGTTTGTTAATGAATTATATGACCTTAAATAAAATTTTATTCTGACCAAATGACGTGAAAAATATTCACACTTTTTTATTTTTTGTCTTGATAAGCAATCAATAGGCAAGATTAGTCTGATTAAATCATAAATTGTATCTTATGAGTCAACAGATTAAAAATTTGATTAAACTTTTGACAAACCCACTGTAAGGATTTTGCACCTAAAGGATTTATTTGTCAGTCATTTTTCCATGGTAATATCACAATAGATACCTGAAATGAGTGTCTGATATTAGTTTTCCAAATAATAATTATCTTGGATATGTGTACTTTTAACTATTTTAACTTTCACTTTGTCCAATAGAGATGAGATTGTGTTTAGATATACAATTACATGTAAGAAATGAGTAGTTACAATAAATTAACAAAGACTATTAAATGTACACAAGTACAGTAAATGACTTGAAAATGAATTTGTCAAATATTTTATCAATTAATTTCATTTGAAAAACAGTCTTATTATTGGAACGCCTCTGTTGGACGGAAGAACAGACGTGTCAACTTTTTATTGGGACCATATCTCCTACATGCATTGAGGGATTATAATAAAACTTTATAGATATGTTCACCATTATATGAATTTGTGTCTTGCTCATGAATCAGGTCTGTAGGTCAAAGGTCAAGGTCACACTTAAAGGTCATTGAAAAACACATGTCCAGAGTAAAACTTTTATATGCATTGAGGGATTTCAATATCATGTGCTATAAATATTCACCATTGTAAGGCTAAGTGTTACACAGAAATTCAGTTTCCTGAGGTCAAGGTCAAGATCACACATTGGGGTCAAAGTTCAGAAAGAAATATTAAAATGTGTATAAGGACCATTTAGACATTTAAATAGTCATTATCATGACTACAACTGTTACACTTGTAAATTAGGTAAAAAATTGCAGGTCAAGGTCATTGAAGGTGATGAAATGTCCAGATTTTGTCAAGAGCATATCTCCTACAGTCATAGAGGGATGTTAATAAAACTTTATAGAAATGTTCACTTCTATAAGAAGCTGTCTCATGTGCATAAACTAGGTCTCTAGGTCAAAGGTAAAGGTCACACTTAAAGGTCATCAAAAAATGCTTGTCAGGAGTAAAACTTCTACATGCATAGAGGGATTTCATAAAACTAGGCATAAATGTTCACCATTGTGAGGCAGAGTGTCACACAAAATTCAGGTCCCTGCAGCCAAGGTCAAAGTCACACATAGAGGTCAGAGTTCAAGAAGAATTATGAAAATGTGTGTAAGGCCCATTTGTCAACATTTATTTAAATAGTCTTTATCGTGACTACGTCTGTGACACTTGTACTTTTAAGTCAATAATTGCAAGTACTTTAAGTCAATAATTGCAAGGTCAATGTCACTGAAGTTGATGAAATGTTCAGGTTTTTCTAGAGCATATCTCTTACATACATGGAAGATTTTTTATAATACATTATAGAAATGTCCTATAAATTGATTACTTAATGCATGACCATGGTGAAAGGTCAAGGTCACACTCAGAGCTGAATGCCATGCATCTCCATAAAGACCTTATCTCCATTAAAAGCTTTTGAGAAGGGTGTTTATTGCGACAATATTACCCTTGTTTGTTTAAAATAAATATTCTCAGGTTATCCAATGATGAAAATTACAATCTTATAGATAGAATTAAATTTGACTGATTTTAAGGTAATGGACAATTTGCATTTCCATGTCTTTGCAAGGCAGAGTTTTATTTGGAAGTGACAATCGACACTTTCTTAAATTATAAATGAATAAATTTATGAATTAATAAACATTATATTTTACATCCATAACCTATTTAAACAGTTATGTGTTAAATATAAGCTGCCAAATGTCTGTTGCTATGGAACTAAATAAGTAAATATGACTTGAATGTCACCAAATTTTGTCAGGAAACTTAAAATGTTGACACCAAATTTTGTCAGGAATCTAAAAAATGTGAAAGATAACTTGCATTAAGCAAATAGTATTTCATAACAAATCTCATTTCCATCATTATCTAGTGCAGTAGTTTTAATTGTATCGCTTTGAAAAAGGCGCCATATGATTGCATAATAACTGAAAATAGCACCATATCATAAGCATTAACAATGACTGAGAAATAGATATAAAGAAGTAAGAAAAATACACTATTGAATAGCATATATTTTTTACAACATAAGTAGTATATTTGAAATAGTGTTCAAATATGTAAGACATTTAATGTAATGATTACATTGGATGAATGTATCTTTTACAACATAAGTAGAACATTTGAAATACCTTTCAAATATGTAAGACATTTAATGTAATGATTACATTGGATGAATATATCATGCAACTTTGTGATGACTTAAAGTCAAGGTCACCCTTAATTATCTGCAATGACAGTTCTAAATTTTTCATATGACCTTTTTAGCTCACCTGACCACAAAGTGGTCAAGGTGAGGCTTAGTGATGGGGCTATGTCCGGCGTCGTTCGTCGTCAACATTTGGGTTGTTAACACTTCAGCAGTCACCATCATCAAACTTTGTCAGAATGTTTATCTGAATAAAATACAGGTCAAGTTCGAAGATGGGTTATCTCCGATCAAAAACAAAGTCACAGGAGCTAAAAATAGAAAAAGCTTGTTAACACTCTAGCAGTCACAGTTTTGATTAGATCATCATCAAACTTTGTCAGAATGTTTGTCTCAATTAAATGCAGGTCAAGATCGAAGATGGGTCATCTCTGGTCAAAAACTAGGTCACAGGAGCTAAAATAGAAAAAGCTTAACACTCTAGCAGTCACAGTTTTGATTAGATCATCATCAAACTTTGTCAGAATGTTTGTCTCAATTAAATGCAGGTCAAGATCGAAGATGGGTCATCTCTGGTCAAAAACTAGGTCACAGGAGCTAAAACTAGAAAAAGCTTGTTAACACTCTAGCAGTCACAGTTTTGATATGATCATCAAACTTTGTCAGAATGTTTGTCTAAATGAAATTCAGGTCAAGTTCGAAGATGGGTTACCTCCGGTCAAAAACTAGGTCACAGGAGCTAAAAATAGAAAAAGCTTAACACTCTAGCAGTCACAGTTTTGACTGGATCATCATCAAACTTTGTCAGAATGTTTGTCCTAATGAAATACAGATCAAGCTTGAAGATGGGTCATCTCCGGTCAAAAACTAGGTCACAGGAGCTAAAAATAGAAAAAGCTTGTTAACACTCTAGCAGTCACAGTTTTGATTGCATCATCATCAAACTTTGTCAAAATGTTTGTCTCAATTAAATACAGGTCAAGTTCGAAGATGGGTCATCTCCGGTCAAAAACTAGGTCACAGGAGGTAAAAATAGAAAAAGCTTGTTAACACTCTAGTGGCTGCAGTTTTGATACAAATATTCTGGAAACTTGTCAGGAAGGTTGTTTTGATGATTTCTAAGTCAAGTTTGAAGATGGGTCATCTCTGGTCAAAAACTAGGTCACAGAAGCTAAAAATAGAAAAATCTTGTTAACACTCTAGTGTCTGCAGTTTTGATCCAAATATTCTGGAATTTTGTCAGGAAGGTTGTTTTGATGATTTCTAGGTCAAGTTTGAAGGAGGGTCATCTCAGGTCAAAAACTAGGTCACAGAGCTAAAAATAGAAAAGGCATGTTAACACTAATGGATGAAGTTTTGATCCAAATTTCCTTGAAATCAGTCAGTAATGTTGTTTTGATGATTTTTAGGTGAAGTTTAAATATAGGTCATCTACGGTCAAAAACTAGGTCACAGAAGCTTGAAATAGAAAAAGCTTGTTAACACTCTAGTGTCTGCAGTTTTGATCCAAATATTCTCGAAATTTGTCAGGAAGGTTGTTTTGATGATTTCTAGGTCAAGTTTGAAGATTGGTCATGTCCGGTCAAAAACTAGGTCACAGGAGCTAAAAATAGAAAAGCTTGTTAACACTTTAGTGGCTAGGCTCTTGGTACTTTGCGGAACGGAACGGAACGGAACCAGTTAAGAGGCCCCTAACGGGGAAACAGAAATTAAAAAAAGCGCTATTATTTCAATTAAACCCATCTTATAGCTCTTGGGTTTAAACACCAGATCTTATGTATTTATCATATAGCTTTTTGTTTAGGCAGTAGATGAAAATCTATGGTTCAATTTTATGTTACATCTCTGGACCTGGTTAGATTTTGATTATCTATATGCTTAGGCAGGTTTAAGATTTTAGAACAACTCAAATAATATTAGAGATTTGGAGCTGATTTTAAAATAACGTAAATTTTGTCCATATCTTGTGTTTGTGTACCTTGAGTATAATTGGGTAAAAAGTAGATATTCAATATTTTGTGGTAGGATACAACAGTTATTTCACGAGTGAGGCAGGTTTTTGTTTTTGTTATGAGAGAAAAAATATAACGTCAGGTGCATAAGGATTCAACGTAGAGAGAGTTTACCATATAAGCTAAATCATATGTGATGAATTACATTTCATATTTAGCAGAATAAAATGAAGTATTTAAAAGAGCCCAAATGTAGTCTATACAACTTTTTAATTAATAATTGATTAAATTTTAAGGACAATGCATATTATAAGTCACTTTGTTCTATTGAGTTATATTGGTATACATTTGAACTGTTCTATTTAAAATGATGAACTTTATGGAGTGAAACTTGTGTATGCCTCCTATCTTACAACTTAGAATTCTCAAAGATAGATTTACTGTCAGATCTAAAGATGAAAATAATACATTTATCTAACACAATATTATTATAAACTTATTCAGCCCATACTTTTGTGGCAATTCTGCAATAATTGAGTTTCGTGAAAAGAAAAGTTATTGTAGCCATTCTTGATAAGATATTTTTTCTATTCACAAC